ACCTGTGTGTTTTAATTGTATCAACCTGTGTGTTTTAATTGTATATTAACCTGTGTGTTTTAATTATATCGTTTTACCTGTGTGTTTTAATTGTATCATTTACCTGTGTGTTTTAATTATATCATTTTACCTGTGTGTTTTAATTGTATTATTTACCTATGTGTTTTACTGGTATAGTTAAACGTGTGTTTTAATTGTATCATTTTACCCGTGTGTTTTAATTGTATCATTTTACCTCTGTGTTTTAATTGTATCATTTACCTGTGTGTTTTAATTGTATTATTAACCTGTGTGTTTTGATTATATCGTTTTACCTGTGTGTTTTAATTATATCATTTTACCTGTGTGTTTTAATTGTATTATTTACCTGTGTGTTTTATTGGTATAGTTAAATGTGTGTTTTGATTGTATCATTTTACCTGTGTGTTTTTAATTGTATCATTTTACCTGTGTGTTTTACTTCTGTCATTGACCTTGTGTGTTTTAATTGTATCATTTACCTGTGTGTTTTAATTGTATCATTTACCTGTGTGTTTTACTGGTATCATTTACCTGTGTGTTTTAATTGTATCATTTACGTGTGTTTTAATTGTATCATTTACCTGTGTGTTTTAATTGTATCATTTACGCGTGTGTTTTAATTGTATCATCTACCTGTGTGTTTTAATTGTATCATTTACCTGTGTGTTTTAATTGTATCATTTACCTGTGTGTTTTATTTGTATCATTTACCTGTGTGTTTTACTGGTATCATTTACCTGTGTGTTTTAATTGTATCATTTACGTGTGTTTTAATTGTATCATTTACCTGTGTGTTTTAATTGTATCATTTACCGTGTGTGTTTTACCTGTGTGTTTTAATTGTATGTTTTATTTGTATCATTTACCTGTGTGTTTTAATTGTATCATTTACCTGTGTGTTTTAATTGTATCATTTACCTGTGTGTTTTAATTGTATTATTTACCTGTGTGTTTTAATTGTATCATCTACCTGTGTGTTTTAATTGTATCATTTACCTGTGTGTTTTAATTGTATTATTAACCTGTGTGTTTTAATTATATCGTTTTACCTGTGTGTTTTAATTGTATCATTTACCTGTGTGTTTTAATTATATCATTTTACCTGTGTGTTTTAATTGTATTATTTACCTATGTGTGTGTGTGTTTAATTGTATCATTTTACCCGTGTGTTTTAATTGTATCATTTACGCGTGTGTTTTAATTGTATCATCTACCTGTGTGTTTTAATTGTATTATTAACCTGTGTGTTTTGATTATATCGTTTTACCTGTGTGTTTTAATTATATCATTTTACCTGTGTGTTTTAATTGTATTATTTACCTGTGTGTTTTATTGGTATAGTTAAATGTGTGTTTTGATTGTATCATTTTACCTGTGTGTTTTTAATTGTATCATTTTACCTGTGTGTTTTACTTCTGTCATTGACCTTGTGTGTTTTAATTGTATCATTTACCTGTGTGTTTTACTGGTATCATTTACCTGTGTGTTTTAATTGTATCATTTACCTGTGTGTTTTAATTGTATCATTTACCTGTGTGTTTTAATTGTATCATTTACCTGTGTGTTTTATTTGTATCATTTACCTGTGTGTTTTACTGGTATCATTTACCTGTGTGTTTTAATTGTATCATTTACCTGTGTGTTTTAATTGTATCATTTACCTGTGTGTTTTACCTGTGTGTTTTATTATATCGTTTTACCTGTGTGTTTTAATTGTATCATTTACCTGTGTGTTTTAATTATATCATTTTACCTGTGTGTTTTAATTGTATCATTTACCTGTGTGTTTTACTGGTATAGTTTACCTGTGTGTTTTAACGCGTGTTGTATCATTTTACCTGTGTGTTTTAATTGTATCGTTTTACCTGTGTGTTTTAATTGTATCATTTACCTGTGTGTGTTTTTTTGATTGTATCATTTTACCTGTGTGTTTTAATTGTATCATTTACCTGTGTGTGTCATTTACCTTGTGTGTTTTAATTGTATCATTTACCTGTGTGTTTTACTGGTATCATTTACCTGTGTGTTTTAATTGTATCATTTACCTGTGTGTTTTAATTGTATCATTTACCTGTGTGTTTTAATTGTATCATTTACCTGTGTGTTTTAATTGTATTATTAACCTGTGTGTTTTAATTGTATCATTTACCTGTGTGTGTATTTTAACCTGTGTGTATCATTTACCTGTGTGTTTTAATTGTATATTTCTGGTATAGTTGTGTGTTACCATTTTGTGTGTTTTAATTGTATCATTTACCTGTGTGTTTTGTTTATCATTTACCTGTGTGTGTTTTAACCTGTGTGTTTTGTATCATTTACCTGTGTGTTTTAATTGTATCATTTACGCGTGTGTTTTAATTGTATCATCTACCTGTGTGTTTTAATTGTATCATTTACCTGTGTGTTTTAATTGTATCATTTTACCTGTGTGTTTTACTTCTGTCATTGACCTTGTGTGTTTTAATTGTATCATTTACCTGTGTGTTTTACTGGTATCATTTACCTGTGTGTTTTAATTGTATCATTTACGTGTGTGTTTTAACGCGTGTGTGTGTTACCTGTGTGTTTTAATTGTATCATTTACCTGTGTGTTTTAATTGTATCATTTACCTGTGTGTTTTACTGGTATCATTTACCTGTGTGTTTTAATTGTATCATTTCTGTGTGTTTTAATTGTATCATTTACGCGTGTGTTTTAATTGTATCATTTACCTGTGTGTTTTAATTGTATCATTTACCTGTGTGTTTTATTTGTATCATTTACCTGTGTGTTTTACTGGTATCATTTACCTGTGTGTTTTAATTGTATCATTTACCTGTATGTTTTAATCGTATCATTTACCTGTGTGTTTTAATTGTATCATTTTACCTCTGTTTTTTAATTGTATCATTTACCTGTGTGTTTTAATTGTATTATTAACCTGTGTGTTTTAATTATATCGTTTTACCTGTGTGTTTTAATTGTATCATTTACCTGTGTGTTTTAATTATATCATTTTACCTGTGTGTTTTAATTGTATTATTTACCTATGTGTTTTACTGGTATAGTTAAACGTGTGTTTTAATTGTATCATTTTACCCGTGTGTTTTAATTGTATCATTTTACCTCTGTGTTTTAATTGTATCATTTACCTGTGTGTTTTAATTGTATTATTAACCTGTGTGTTTTGATTATATCGTTTTACCTGTGTGTTTTAATTATATCATTTTACCTGTGTGTTTTAATTGTATTATTTACCTGTGTGTTTTATTGGTATAGTTAAATGTGTGTTTTGATTGTATCATTTTACCTGTGTGTTTTTAATTGTATCATTTTACCTGTGTGTTTTACTTCTGTCATTGACCTTGTGTGTTTTAATTGTATCATTTACCTGTGTGTTTTAATTGTATCATTTACCTGTGTGTTTTACTGGTATCATTTACCTGTGTGTTTTAATTGTATCATTTACGTGTGTTTTAATTGTATCATTTACCTGTGTGTTTTAATTGTATCATTTACCTGTGTGTTTTAATTGTATCATTTACCTGTGTGTTTTAATTGTATCATTTACCTGTGTGTTTTACTGGTATCATTTACCTGTGTGTTTTAATTGTATCATTTACCTGTGTGTTTTAATTATACCATTTTATCTGTGTGTTTTAATTGTATCATTTACCTGTGTGTTTTAATTGTATTATTAACCTGTGTGTTTTAATTGTATCATTTACCTGTGTGTTTTACTAGTATCATTTACCTGTGTGTTTTACTGGTATCATTCACCTGTGTGTTTTAATTGTATCATTTACCTGTGTGTTTTAATTGTATCATTTACGCGTGTGTTTTAATTGTATCATCTACCTGTGTGTTTTAATTGTATCATTTACCTGTGTGTTTTATTTGTATCATTTTACCTGTGTGTTTTACTTCTGTCATTGACCTTGTGTGTTTTAATTGTATCATTTACCTGTGTGTTTTAATTATACCATTTTATCTGTGTGTTTTAATTGTATCATTTACCTGTGTGTTTTAATTGTATTATTAACCTGTGTGTTTTAATTGTATCATTTACCTGTGTGTTTTACTAGTATCATTTACCTGTGTGTTTTACTGGTATCATTCACCTGTGTGTTTTAATTGTATCATTTACCTGTGTGTTTGTATTGTATCATTTACCTGTGTGTTTTAACTGTATCATTTTACCTGTGTGTTTTAATTGTATCATTTACCTGTGTGTTTTAATTGTATTATTTACCTGTGTGTTTTAATTGTATCATTTACCTGTGTGTTTTAATTAATCATTTACCTGTGTGATTTGATTTATCATTTACTTTTGCGTTTTATTCTATCATTTACGTGTGTGTTTTTAATTACATCATAATACCTTTAGTTTCTTGAGAAATACTGGATGGATCTTTTTCAGTTTCATATGTAGGTTTGCCTTGGTCCCTACTTGTGTGCCCGTTTTATTTTGTTACTGATCAGTAAACAAAATGACCGTCTGACAGCCATCTCGGATTTGACAATGAAGTGTGTTACCGCTATTTCTCGAGAAATACTAGAAAGATCTGTTAAATTTCGTGTGTAGATTCATAATGATCGTTAGTTTGGCCGTTTTGATTTTGAGACTGATTAGAAAACAAATTACTGAAAGGCGACCGTCTTGGATTTTGGCAATTAAAAATCATTATCGTTATTTCTAAAGAGATGTTTTAAAATTTGATATCATAAAGAAAAACAGAGGAGGGAAGAGAAATGAAGGGGTACAACTAAAGGTCAAACAATTGTAGGCGCCACTATCCCCCTGGGATCTCTTGTTTATTTACATATTTATTCCAAAGGTTATTTAGACATTTTCGTGTAGTAGAATCGCCCAGTTTTCAATGTAAACTGTGTACTTGTATGCATAAGCTGCTTGATGGGTTTATGCAAAATGTTGACAAACATGTTTTCCATAATTAGAGGAAGAAGACGAAGAAGTTGATAAAAAGTCCAATCTTACCGTGAACAGTCTGTCTTGCCGGGTGTATACATTGTATACCACCACTAGCCGTGGACGAAAGACATATGTTCCTCACTGTGTTTCCGGTGACTGTGTTTTTTTCCTCTTCTGTTCTGTCTTTAGTTTTGAGTCCAAGTAAATTTTCTATTTGAAACGCTTCTGCTTTTGGGCTGAGCATATTATCAGAACGTCGTTTTCCTAAGTTCAGAAAAAAGAACAAATAAACTGACGGGGAAAGCGGTGTGATGTTCATATATTTCAATGGGATACAGTGCAATTGTAATTCGTGTAAATTTGCCTTTTTGCGGAATATACATAGGACTTGATAATAAATAGCGAGTAATATCGTCACAATAATGGAAATTGAGCTTATTTTTATCATGATAGTCTATAAAAGAATTTACATATTTTTTACACAAAATACAAAAACGTGTCACTGAAATTGTAATTAAGACAAAAAAAACCCAATATTTTAAGAATGCAACTAAGATTAGAACATATAACAAATATTTTCTTAGGAGTACTACCAAAGTGTAACTTGCCTCAATATTCTTTACATATTGCGAATGATTGAAAACTAACCATCGAGGTAGTATTTGAATGCATTCAAAGAGCGACAAGAAAGTCTTGTTAAAATGTATAATTGTGTTTTGTAACAATCTTTAAAATCAAGGTTTACGCAAGAACAAATTTATAGGAAAAAGGGTTTTCCTTGCCACTAGTTACAACGAATGAGGCAATATACAAGGGTGTAATAAATATTATCATAAATATTAGCAATAGCTGATCAAACACTGACGTAGCTATCTTAAGATAAACGTCGTCAAAATAACGAGAACTTCAAATAACATAACAGTAAATTAACATGATCAATATAGCTACATTGGGAGTATCATAACTTAAAAATCATCACAGTAAATTAACATGATCAATATAGCTACATTGGGAGTATCACAACTTAAAAATCATAACAGCAAATTAACATGATCAATATAGCTACATTGGGAGTATCATAACTTAAAAATCATCACAGTAAATTAACATGATCAATATAGCTACATTGGGAGTATCATAACTTCAAAATCATCACAGTAAATTACATGATCAATATAGCTACATTGGGAGTATCACAACTTAAAAATCATAACAGCAAATTAACATGATCAATATAGCTACATTGGGAGTATCATAACTTAAAAATCATAACAGTCAATTAAAATTGTTAGTTTAACTAGAACTGAAAGTATCATTACTTCACAAAAATTTAGCTAAAATCAATAGAAATTATCAATATCATTAGAACTGATATTGTTGTTTACAAACGTAATGAAAACAGAAATTAACAAAATCAGAAAGAAAAAGGTCAATAAAAAAAACAAAACAACAAAGACTCGGAGAGTTACCGTATTAACAAGAAATATGTTTACATTACTAATTTGTCAGACTATAAATCGACTAATAGGAATTACCAACTCACCAATATCTAACAGTATTTGTTCTCCGTTAGATTATAGAGCAATCAATACAAGTTGTCATTAATGGTAGGTATCCAATCCAATTCATTAGAAAAACTTGAAAAAGGTCGGTATAATTATCTCCGTAACGGAAGTGGTAGTATAGAAGTATTTTTATATCGGATACTTTCAGAAAAGGAACTGTTAAAATCTAAGGAGGAAAAAATAAAAGGAAAGGGTATCACTTAATTATTACCTTAGAAGACTGAAGAATCTGCCTAATCCAACTAGCTGCTCTACACTCCTGTAGCGGGTAGTGTGGCGGGTGTATTATCAGCCGGCGTACAGGACTTATCAAATGTGGATAGTGTGATTACAATAATAGAGGTGTTGTTTTAGCCACAGGTACTTCAACATGTTGGGCCCTATTTGACCTGAGAAGGTCAGACAGGAATGATAGGACTCCCAACTGGGTGCTTTTTCATCACCCGCTTCATAGATAACACAGCCCCTCATACTTTATTCTTGTCTTTACTCATATGTTTGTTTGTATTTGACTTTACGAAACTAAAATATTGTGCTGAAGACATACAAGTGACAAGCACCTTTTGATATAAATTGAAAGTCAGATGCAGTAGAGGCAAACGATTAATCAAAATGCACCACTCGTCAGTGATGGTAATGGCCTAAATCGTGAAGCCTAGGAGGTGACTAATGAAAATCCAAAGTGATCGACAGAAAAGTCAAAATCTAGACGGGGAGACGTATCGGTCTCATAATTATAGAAATTTCGTAATTTTCTCACATCAGATAAATTTAGAGAAACGGGGGAAATTTTATCAAAAGATATTGTGTCAATTATCATCGCAAAATTATCAACAAATATAACACACGACCTGTTTAAGCGTACTTTAAGTATAAGTTTTCATAGGTCTGAAGCATACACGATTAACTAAGTAGACAGGAGGTTCAGATTTGTCCGTTTCAGATCAGTCTCATGAAGAATTTGTGTTTCCATTCGAAATACCGATAACTCATTCTGATATTTCCACCCGCGTTTCCGATTATAATTAAGATTTTTATTTTTATTTTGTCCAATTTGAATGTCAACAGATAATATGACAGCTGAATCTGAGCTGCCCACAACGTGTCTTCAAAGTTACGGTAGCGCTTCTCATATGATAAATAATAAAACATACGTTTAAATGGATTCATTCATACTGGCAATTCCTTGTTTTATTCAATCCTTCATTAGGAACCTTGGGTCAATAATGAAGATGCAGGATTTCTTCATTAAAAGTAGACTTGTTATGTAACTATCAATAGTTGGAATCTGTGCAGACCTAAGGTTCTGATAAACTTGGTTTACCATTTAAAAGCACCTTGCACCACATCGATTCGCATTTGTAAAACAAGACGAAATCATCTATTAAATTTCATCTCTTTCGCTAGGTTAGCATCATTGTTGTACAAAGGTCACACAAGACTATGTAATACTTTTAAATGCAGATTTAGAATTATACATATATTAGCCCATTATGAATTAAACTGCATCATCCAGCGATATCGTCCTTCAGTGAGACTTATGACCTAAATCGTGAAACTTGACAATTCAATTGAGCAGTCCCAATTGTGAAATTTTCGGAGTACACTTTTTGTTCGGTTTTTGAACGGTTCCTTTCTTTTCCTGCTAATATAACTTACTCTTAAATGCTAGTCGGTACAACTGCTTCCATTTTTCACTTACTTTGGTGTCTTCGGGACCATGGCATTGCAAAGCTGGATTGACAAAAAAAATAATGGCACTTTTTAGAAGTCTCCGATAAAATCTTTCTCTCGTTTTTATTTCGCCATTGTAAAGCATGTGTTTTGATTTAAGATTCTGTTAATATGTCGGTATTTTCTTTATTTTTGTTAACTTTTTACTGTAATCCCACTTTCTTTCGGTAACGATTTAGTTTCGCGAATATTGCGAACAAAGCGAAATCGCATAAAAATCATCGCCGTGAATTAAACCATAGACAATGAACACCGATTTTCACAGTAAGATATGTTTTTTCTAATAATGACTATCATCCTCATGTGCAGTTTATTCTAAATCTAGATAAAGAGTAGATTTACTTTATGTGTTATAGCTGTACCTATAGTTGACCATGGGGTGTTCGATACCGAGGACATTGTGTTATGTAAATGAAACACTACTGTAGAGATCAGTTAGAATTCTATATCTGGGTCACCACTATAACCACACAATCTTTAAACTAACTATAATCGATCTTTACATCACTATCTAAATCAATTTGACTGCTTTATCCATTTGGGTGTTGTACCATATGCTGTTAATAAGATGTCAAACGTCGTTCACGTTTACAACCGGTCATTACTAGTTAACGGAGTTTAAATTTGTTAACTGTTAATCTAAAAAATAAAACAAAACTAATTTTAGAATTTTAGAAATATATAATGGGGCTTGCGTCTCCTCCCTTGAGAGCCTCTACATCACCATTCCAATTGTATCTAGTCGTTTTAGAATCAATTTCTCTTGAAAGTGAAGGTGTCCTGTCTTGACACGGGCGATAACAGTATACGATGTAGAATTCCGGCGTGAAGTTCCTTATATGGGATAGATAAAAAAAAAACGAAGTGTCTCCTATCTCACACTAAAGCTGCATCCCATTGTTGATACCCGGTTGCCGGTCATCTTTAGCTTTTAATCCTTTAATCCTTATATTGGACTGTATTTATATTCCACTGTAAACAGATTACGGTAAAGGGTGAAACAATTTACAAGTAAGACTTAGCAACATTCCAGATAGAACCGGGTACTTCCGGGTTATGTTCGACTTGGGTGAGAATGTATCGGTGTGTTTGTCCCGTATCTTTGTTATCATGGTAAACAGAAGCGTGTACAACTTCAGAAGTGTATAATTGTTCTAGGCCAACGAGGGATGCTTGGTATCTAGTCACAGCGAGTGTCCTGTAGGTCTTGTTGACAGAGATGTCACTATTTTGGGATGGGCACTAAACTAATGTGTTGAAATCCCCATTAAAATGTCTTCTCTGTGTCATCTCAGAGAAAACCGAGCATCGCCTGAAACTGGAAAAAAATACCAATGATTATCTTTTTTTTTTTTTTTTTGTTACTCAAAACGCAATTTATCTATTAATAATATCATTTTGTATTGGTACTTAAATCAGGTCTTTACATAGGTCATTAAAAATCTATACTGACCCTGACAGAATGGAAATTGATTTTCACAAAACATAACCATTGAACACAGTTCCGGTAGGGTGTCATGTGTTACAAGAAATGTCTTGAAAAATATCCTAGACTACCCTCCAAACCTTGAAGAACTTTCTAGATTCTTCTGCTTCTAAATCTGGAATATTTTTCATCAAGCATTACTATTTGTTGTCTTTATCTCAATTTCCTCGTTGAGGTTTTTGAACTATACATAGTAATACCTCTGCTTCCAAAACCTCTGCTACATTCTGTCATTTGTTGCCAATAGCACGAATAGACAAAGGATGGGAAAATTTTTACCACAAACAGTTTCGAGAGAGTTTAATAATTGACATCATGATCCTACTGTAAATATTCTGTTGTGAGGTATGAAGTTGGATGTGTGCGGTTCCTGGAATTCTCTAACAAGCACTTAATTCTTTGTTGCAGGTCTCGTTTGCATGTACCACTGCCATGTCTGGAATACTTGTCCCTAGCTTCTCATTTAAGTTGTAGATATATCTTTGGACCGTCCCACTGGCTTCCTTTGCTCTGGTCACCGAACTTATAGAGGGATTCGACCACGTGAAGACGAGAGTGTATCTCATTACCAGAATGGTGGTGGTTCTTGGCAAAGACAAGGTTTGTCCAGTGTTTGACAAATTAAGAGTTGTTCTCCGAGTTGTGCTGGAAACCGCTCGAGCATAAACGAATCATTTACAGAAAGTCGCCATAATTTTTTTCAGTCATCGCAATTAACCAAAAGCTCTAACACAAAAGTATTCATTCTCTTTAACAATCCTAGCGAAACGTGTATATAGAACAGGCAGGATATTACGCGAGTAAATTCCGGTAAGCTGTTGAAAACCATTTTGGACACCTCTTACGGTTGACTCGAACCAGCTACGAAAGAAAATGAAAGATCAAAGATAAGCGTTCTCAAACCTCGTCATATCTGTCTAAGCTTAGTGTGTCTTCGACACAGCATGTAGGCAACGGAATCGGATACTTTCTCTTCCAGGCATTCCCAATATTGTAAACGGGTATTTAGAAGACGAGTATACGGGCGCACGTTTTTCTTGTGTTCTCGAAGTTGCAGGGAAAATACTCCCACAAGACAGGAATTTTGGTAGATCGACATCATTTCCGGAAGCCACAACGTTAAGGAAGCCAGTAAAGATGTTATTTGTCAAGGCTGTCAAAAGCTGGAGATGTTATATCAATCTTCGATCGTCATAATGATAATTCCATTCATATGTGCGTTAGGAAGCTGGACGTGTTTGATGTTTGTCAGTTCGCCTGTTGGTTCCGTTAACGTGACATTACTTACTAAGTTTGACAAAGATTTACATGGCGGATGACGTCGATGAAACAACTCCAGAACACCTGACGATCTTATTCTGTTTGTACTTTTCCATGAATCTCCGTGTAAATCTTTCTTTTATTCTTAGTTTGCCGCAGTTTTATTAAATCTGAATTTGAATTATGATTATGTTGACATGTTGGTACACGTGTATTTTCTTGTTGTTTTTTCTGTTGAAGAGTCATGAAGACGCCGAGAACAATAGACTTAAGATGGCAGAAACAAGCCCACATACATCAAAGGAGAAAAGTGAACAGCAAAGAACTATAGGGGAAAGATAATACTTCATAGCTCTTTCTATTGTGGAAGAATTGATAAAGAAAGCTGCAAATGTGCTAAGGTAATTCATCAATAAGGGAAGCTGGAGTGGTACGTTGTTAGGGTAGCGACGCAAGTCAATATATAGACGGAGCTTTAACGCTGTAGTGATGCAAAAAATGTCTGAATTATTGCGTATATTGTAAATTTTGAAACTAAAAAACTGAAAATAAAAATACTCTCAATGTTAGGCTTTGTGTTCAACCCCCACAAGCTGCCGATATAATGTAGACTTTTGTAAGTTGTTTCATCACAGGTAGTGTGAGAAGGAGTTTAAAAGTACCGGATAGATACGGGTGCACACATGAGTATAACATGTCAGACTTGAACAATTAATACATGAACTGACAGTCCCCGTAAGCTATTGACCAATTGACGACAAAATGACGTAATGGAACACAAAACACAACATAACGATAAGGGAGTTGTTAAGATAGTCCCCCATGGGAGTGTTTTTCTCCGTCTTGACCTGCTGGCATTATTCATGTCATAATGTTGTTATTGCAATGCGCCGCAGTGGTAAGAGTCACGAATCTCCTCCAAGGATGGAGATTAATCTGCCTTACACTTAAAGTAGGCAAAGACCTTATCGATCTAAACCAGAGAACTTCAGCACGAAGATTCAACGAATACTCGATTTAAAGTCATACCGCGAGGGCTGGAATCATCTCTGTTGATCACATAGAGGCGATCGGTCTTTTTTTCAGACATTTTCCGATTTCTTTAATTACGCAATTTGTTGTATTGAACTGAATTTAAAAACAGTCTACCATCTTCTAAAATTGTCAAAATTGATATCGGTTTTTAATAGTGACCTGATTAGTTAAATAGCGTGATGATGCGACCCATTCCTGACTAATGACGTTTAAAGAATAAAAACTCACGTATTTTCGCAAGGAACGGCCTATAAATCTTTAAAATTTCAAATGGGCCATTTTTAAAAGTTTTTTGGTGGGAACATTAAACTGGAGTTCTTTAAAGTTTTTTCTTCTCCTCGGAAAGACGGATTTTGTCGAAATTACAATGCATTGAACAATCATTTATGATATTAGTTTTTTGATGATAGGACTTGGTAGGACTTGAACTGATAGAGATACAATAATTAATGTATTTTAACATATTTAAAGAAGGAATCAAATAGCCATGCTTTATATTTGAAATGATGGTTCGATGTATTGTGCATACATTATGACTGAAAATTGACAGAAAAGGAGAAAATCTTCGATCCAGCTTGAATGGCATATATGTCTAAACCACAGATGGCCGCCACCAAGTCATTAGTTTCACTGTCTGATCAGTTACTCCCAAAAAGGAATTATATTGGTATTCAGAGTCGTTAACAAGTCATCATGGCAAATCAAGGAAAAATCAACCAAACACTAATGTAGAAAAAAGAAACTTTATTCACTTACACATCTGTCAACTATCCATCATCATGTATAGTAAAAATAGGTTAACATTCAAAACCAGGTCCCAGTTATAGACACGTCATTAATACCAGTCGAGTCACCTACTTCTTGTATATGAAATGAACACTACAGGACAGTATGGAGTCGTTCAGAATCTACTTTCTGGTCAGCAGGTTAATATTTTGGAATTATAACGAATCGTTTTCAAATGTAACCTGTGTCTAAACAAATCCAGACACTGATTTATACATACAGGACATGAACACTATAATATTATAAAACGTTGTCATACTCTGAGGATGTTACTTCGAGCTAACTTACATGAATACGAGTTGTCTCCCTTACTACACAAGGCACTCACTGATATGCTGTTACAAAGGGACTACTCTACATCATAAAAATATCAAAATATCACAAAGTATTAAATAGAAACTTGTACGGTGTAATGAAACAACAGTTTATAAACTGAAGACATCAAACAAATCTGACTATTATTCAATTGAAATAAGTTATATATTTACAGAAAAGGGAATTCAAACTGTACCTATAATCTGTTCCATACTTGTCACTAACTTGTGAATAAATGCTTAGCTACATGAAATAGAACATTTTCAGATCAATATCAAATGTTGGAAAATTAAAAAAAAAATCAGATCAACATCAGTTTACTTTCCAAATAATAAATGTAAACAAGAAAATAACATCACAGCAGATCTAACAAAATGAGATATATTCCTGAATCACAAGTCAATCAGACCCTGAATAATACCTCCCATACTCACACTGACATACAGAACTCATCCTCTCTTAAGTTCAGAAAATGACACATTTCAGTCACATGTTAATATCTTATTAATTTGGTGACAATTGAGGAAATCCGTCATAAGTATACAAAACAGTTGTCCTTAAAATATTATGTTCTTTTGCACACATATAGAATGGAATGGTTACAAGGAAAAATATCTCCGATGTACAGCGACACCAGAAAACTCCTCTTTTATGGTAATAGTGACAAATACAGCAAATATAACTTCCAAACTAGTAGAATTAATCTAGAAAACCATGTACTGTGAATATATTTGGCCCAATAAAATTTTTGCACAATATCAAATTTTAGAAAAATAAGCCCAATGACAAAATTGCAATGATTGATAGATAAGCACAACATAAAATACTGTACTTAGCACAATCATTTTATAGTACAAAATCTTCAGCCTGAAAAGTGCTAAAATAACATCACTGCTAACAAATGTACCATTACAATTTTTTACAATAATTTCAACAACCTTTTAAGTTATCACCTTGTTGGAATATCCAATCAGAGTCCCCGCCCCCCTCCCCTTTTTAATTGACAGCTGTCTTGGTCTTCTTCTGTCAGTACTTGCTGCTGCTGAGTGGGATCCTGAAAAAAAGTATTTGATCTGAAATTTTACAGCAAAACAGGTCATTATGGCAATGAAGGAACAATGTGAACATCAATACTGTAGTGTTCTGGTATGGATATGTTTAAGTATTCAGTAAAGATTTCTTGGAAAATTTTCAGAAAAGGTAGGGAACATATTTCAGAAATTAAAGACATGTATTTGATGATTTCATCAATCGGATTCCTGCACATTATGTGTAACTTATACACCTGTAAAGATGCATGAACAGTCCTTAGATTTACACAAATGGGAAGCACATTTACATAGCTGTACAGTCATGTGTTTACACCAATGAGAAACACTTTCACACACCAGTGCAATTGTGTGATTATACCAATGAGAAGCCCTGTTACATACCAGTACAGTTATGTGTTTACACCAATGAGAAGCCATGTTACATACATGTACAGTTGTGTGTTTACACCAATCAGAAGCCATGTTACATACCTGTACAGTTGTTTGTTTACACCAGTGGGTAGCTGGCCTGAGTAGCAATACCACACATATTGTCCTGATTCCTTGCCATCTTGATATATCCTTCATCTCCCCACACAACATCCCAGCTGTAAGTCAACACAACAAATTTAGTACAAGCACCGATTACAAAATATAAACTTATTTTCACCTTTTGACTCATGATATCAACTCTATAAAAACCTGACATCTATCCTAACACAATCTGACAACTACCTTATTGCAAACTCACACCTACCCTAACAAACACCAGCCAAATACAAACTAATACATACCCTAACACAAACTGTAACAAACCCTCTGATATAATGATATCTATTCTGATAATGCAACACACTGTGACAAGCTGATAAAGAACCATGTAACATAATGATCAGGATATGAGTATTTAGGATAGGTGATCACACCGAGAATATCTAATAAAATGGATAAGATATGGGACAGCACCTGTTCTTGACAAGCCAGTAGTCATTTCCATCCTCTGTCCCATACCCAACAGTCAGCACGCCATGGTCCAGCTGGTCACTACTGCACTCCTCCTCTGTATAGACACCTATAAATAACAATATGTGTCATCACTCTTGTCATACAATGACAGTATCTTCAGAAACATGTCAAAGGCAAATTGGAGCCAAACTTGTAAACTCAGGTGTAAGAAGATTCCTGTGAAATCAGATGTAAGCGGTGCCTTTTAACTCCGATATAAGTGATGCCTATAAACTCAGATGTAAGTGGCATCTATAAACTTAGATGTAAGTGGTGCCTTTTAACTCTGATATACGGGTAAGTGATGCCTATAAACTCAGATGTAAGTGGCATCTATAAACTTAGATGTAAGTGGTGCCTTTTAACTCTGATATACGGGTAAGTGATGCCTATAAACTCAGATGTAAGTGGCATCTATAAACTCAGATATAAGTGGTGCCTTTAAACTCAGGATGAAGTGATCAGTAAGTTGTAGTTCAGTTGTCATGTATAAACTGAATACTAATCAGGTCATTTTACCTCCTTTATAAAGCTGGAAGGACTGGTGACTAGCATCAATGGCTACAGAGATTGGGCCTACTGAGGCAACAGCCTTCTTAAGTTGATCCTCGTCTCCACTCTCGATATCCATACACCCAGTACATGTGGCATTGACCTCGTTCTTGTGAAAGTGGCACTTCTTATCCTGGAAGTATCAATTACTAGTACTCAAGACTAAAAGCAAATATAAGAATAATGCAGATTTTTTTTTGTGACACGAGATAAATACCAGCAATTGATCAGATGATATGTACACATTTTCTCATTGCTAGCTTATTTACATCTGATCCCTATAAAATGATGGTCATTTGTAAGTATGAACCAACAGGAGAATGATTATATTGTAGTACTGAAGCTATAAACCATCTGAAGAATGTTTTAACTGAAGTGCTGAAGTTGTCAACCTACTACACAAAGGTTTTACTGGGTTCTAACTTTCCATCAAAAATAAAATGCATTGCCTTCACTTAAAACATGCTGCCTCTAAACACATCAAATAGGTGCACACTGAAAAAATACCTTAGCCTTGTATGGGTACTCTTCCTCCGACTCAATACCACCAATATCCCTGATATAATCAAAGGCCTGATCCATGAGTCCTCCTTCACAACCATTGTTTCCATAGCTTTCTGAGCAGTCTACCAGCTGTTGTTCACTCAGTGACACCAACTTTCCTGTGCTTCGGAAATGCTGTCCTTCAAGGGCACCAGTCTACAAGGTCAGAGTTCAAAACTTAAATGACAGGGACACAGGTTTCTGGTATTAGTTACTTAAACAACTGTGATAAATCTTAATCAGTTCTGTACTGAAATTCAAGTTGAATCAACTACAAAATCTGGACCTCTTTAAAAGCTACTGAATTCAAGTGTCAATGTAATATTAAGAGAAAATGTTATGAAACTTAAATGTTTTCGGAACATGCAGATTGAAGTTTTAGGTACTTACAGTACTGAATGACCAGCATGACCCACATTGTCCCTGTAACAAACAACAAATAGTAAATACTAAGTGCTTCAAAGAGTCTGTGCCATTAATACATCTCAGCGAACAATACAAAATATTTATGATTACATGTGATACCACTTCATAAACTAACCAGAAACTGATGTTATTCACAGTACTATAAATGACATCAAATATATGTCCATTATGCCATTAAAATTGAAACCGAATGTAGTGATGGTACATCAATCAGGTTGTCAGTAATAAATCACTTATTTTAGTTAACTGTAAATCAAGGTATAATCTGACTAAGACAGAAAAACGGTAAGTAAATATCAGCCATACTATATTTACAGCAATGGCTGATTTATACTACTACCAAACTTTACACCTTGGTGAGTTACTAACTAGGTTTTTCACCATGGTAATTGCTTCTCACTATGATAAGTTGCTAACCTGTGTTTTAGCCTAAGTGAGTTACTTACTTTCTCCTTAACCCTTTTTTAAACCTTAATGTGTTACTAATTCAAAACATAACCTGGTTTTTTTATCTTGAAGAGTGTTTATCTTGGTGAAATACTAACATGGATTTTAACCTTTTCAAGTTACTAACCTGATATTAACCCAAATTTAACAAGGTGAGTTACTATATATTTTATCTTTGTGAGTTACTTACCTGATTTTTCACCTTGGTCACATATCCTTCCTTTCTCCAGTCAACCTCTTCAGGCAATGTCAAGAAATGTGGCTCCATAAATTTTCCACAGTCAGAGGTTTTTACGTTTGTAGACTTTTTCAAGAGACCGTTGTACTTAACAAACTCCTTGAGTTCCTGAAGTTAGAAACATGTCCACCACTACAACTTTGAGCATTTCCATGAAAAATGTCTATGAACAATTTCTATGAAGGATGTGATGGTAAATTTGAGAGCTGTTTTTTCTATGTACCATCTAGGCAAGCAAAAGTTTCAACAGAAGTGAGACCAAGTTAGCTTACCAAATATATATATATATATTTTTTCATTCTGTTTGAAGAAACCTAAATTCTTGGGGAACTGTTTAACTAAATCGTGACTAACTTGAAATATTCTTCATTCATGCAATCTTACATCAAATTGAAGAAAGTAATTCACAATAACTTACTTGATTAAGATTTAATTTGGTATTTTATTTGTGATAATTTCTTTCAGTTTGCATAAACAGTTCATACTGCCTAAGTCAAATTGGCACTTTTTCACAAACTGTTGCAAAGTGTGCAGTTCAGATTACAGGTTTGATGATGAAGAACATACCATGTCTGTAAAGTTGTTGATGCCCAAATAGAAAGACTTCTGTCCTCTGTGGAATTTTTTGTTGTGTTCCCGAATAGCATCCAGATTCTTGACAAAAGTACCAAATCGTGACTTCTCATCCTCTGTTTCATACATTTTGCCTGTGGCAGAAGCACATTAATGGTCTTTTACAGGTATCAATGAAACACAGCATCATTTCCTGGCCCAGATCAAAGTTTGTTAATAAAATGTGTCAATATATAATTATATGTATGGTTCTGTCTAGAATGTTTATAAAATATCCTTGAAAAGTGAGACGACTGCCATGCTAAGACTTCCCTTTTCCGTCCCAATGATTGTGTTTGAACTGTATGCATTAAAAACTGCACCATCACCTTGAAACTTTAATTTACTAAAACAATATATAAAACATAAAATCTAACGATTCATGGGGAAAAACTGATAGAGTATGGTGGCTATAGTGGCATATAAAGATAGCATCAGTCTGTATAATCTGAAAGTTAAATTCAGCATGATGTTGTTCTATTGACTCATCCCCTAGAGTTAACTTGGTACAATTGTATTCAGCTGTATGATAATGTGTTTTTTAGTATAATTGGGTGTGTACTTAAAAAGATCAATGTTCTAGTCCAGTGAAAAATAATTCAGCATGTTTTAATGAGCATCACATAAGTACAGACTATACTTGACATTTCATTTAATCATATCCGACACTTAACAAAAAAAGTACAAGTTCCAGTGTTTTCCTGTTGTGACACAGTGACCACCTACACAGTCTAAGTCAGCAACATGAGTTCACTAAACTCTGATAAACAAATCACTCTGGCACCATCACAAAACTCTACAACTTAATATGTGATTTGGGGTCAACTTGTGGTCAACTTACATGTGATTTAGGGTCAACTTTACATGTGATTTGGGGTCAACTTTACATGTGATTTCGGGTTGACTTTCATGTGATCTTGGGTAAAGTTTATATGTGATTTGGGGCCAATCTTGCATGTGATTTTGGGTTAACCTTCCATTTGACCTGGGGTCAACTTTACATGTGATTTGGGGCCAATATTACGCTTAACATGTGACTGGGGTTAAGGTTATATTTGATTTGGGATCATCTTTACATATAACTTTGGGTCAACCTTACATGTGATTTGGTATCGACTTTATATATAAAGGATCCTTATATGTTTTGCTACAACAAAAACCAACTGGGACAGGTTTCAACCAAGCATGATAATTTCAATTTCTCTATTGTGAATTTTCCATGACTGCATGGCAACCTTCTTGCATTCCAAACCTATGGTGTTAAAATGTCGTAGTTGATTTGATATTCAAGAGCTCCTTCTAATTATCACAATTTTTGTGCAAGATGCCAGCAACTGACAGACAAACTAATAACTTGGAGTTTCAAGTGATGCAGGTTGATTAAGATTAATGGCAAAGTTTACATTTGTCAATGGGAAATATTCCTCATATGATACGAGACTGGATGTGTTTTATATGCATTATTAAGCTTAGTGGTTTCATTCTTCTTTATCTGGTTCTCATTTGGGAACTTGACATTACTTATTTGAATGACAAAGATTTACATGACAGATGCTGTCAATGAATCAGACGATGCTTACCATTCCTTAGCACCTCGTTTGTTCCTTTGAATTATTTTTAGGAGTTTCTGTGTAAATCTTTTTTTGTTCATATTCTGCCCTAATTTCATCAAATTTGAATTTAAATTATGATTTTGTTGAAATGTCAGCATTTTCTTTGTTTCCTTGATTACAAAGTCATGTATCTAAAACAAAATGATATGAAACAAATCTGTACCTATAGCCATATCTTTTATTCAATAATGTATTTCTTTCATAAACATTAAAAAAGATATACTTTATGAAAGAATACTTACCAAAAGATCGTTTGAAGTTTTCGAATTCAGTAAAATAGTCATCAAATTCCACCCTAGCCTGCTCACGGCCTAGAAGGTGAGGTTTCGGTTTGTTAATTGTCTTGGCAGGTGACATTTCAAACCATTCCACAAAGCTTGGTGCACCAAAGGTGACTGTGGCCACAGAGGCCATTATTACAAGAGCGTACATCATCCTTGCAAGGTACAATCACGCTTTCTGTAACAATAGAAATATAATAATGCTTTCTTACAAAATGCTTTTTCACAAATAAATAACTACAAATTCACAAAAAGACTCTACATCAGAAGTAAACACCCTTATAATATATACCAGTACACTTTGTCTATATGACAGTGTGTCAACATCTGTGTGACTGCTCTATCCTCACTTCTACTGTGTGAGATATCTGTTACATTATTTATATAGTATTTATGCGTATATATTGTATCATAAAATTACCATATAGGGTAACTACTTGATTAAAATCTTAAGGTCACCTGATATTATTTATTCGTGTCATGTTAATAGTGCTGTATACTTTCCAAGTCATGAACGGTGATAATTACGACAGAAGTGTACTAGGTACGGGGAGCCCTGGAAAGCTATCAGGATCTTACTTTAATGATCCTGTACCATCATCAACTTAAACTTCTACTTGTTAAATACTTCAGTAATGATTTACAACATAAACAACTTAATTCGTTAAAGTACCTTTAACTTATGTATATCATCAACACAACATCACAGGGTGATACTCTGGTAATTTACAACTGAAAGAGATTTCATTGCAATCTTGTAATCAAACCCATTCTTACCAACAATATCCAACTTTAACTGATGTACAAAAAATTGTGACAAGCATTTCCTATTACCTACCAATAAATTAATATCTACCTGCTGTCATTTCTACCATCAATCCCTAACATCAAATGAGGTCATTTCTATCATGCATCACCCCCTAATACAGACTGATGTCATTTCTACCATATCACCAAATATTAACAATTCATGTCATTTCTACCATCAACCCCTACCACAGATTGATCAATATCATTTCTACTATATTACCTCCTACCAATCAACTGGTATCATTTCTACCATATTACCTCCTACCAACAACTGGTATCATTTCTACCATCAACCCCTACCACAGATTGATTCATGTCATTTCTACCATATTACCTCCTACCAATCAACTGATATCATTTCTACCATATTACCTCCTACCAACAACTGGTATCATTTCTACCATATTACCTCCTACCAATCAACTGGTATCAATACTACCATATTACCTCCTACCAAGCAACTGGTATCATTTCTACCATCAACCCCTACCACAGATTGATTCATGTCACATATTATACCAATCAACTGACCTCCTACCAACAACTGGTATCATTTCTACCATATTACCTCCTACCAATCAACTGGTATCAATACTACCATATTACCTCCTACCAAGCAACTGGTATCATTTCTACCATCAACCCCTACCACAGATTGATTCATGTCATTTCTACCATATTACCTCCAACCAACAACTGGTATCATTTCTACCATATTACCTCCTACCAACAACTGGTATCATTTCTACCATCAACCCCTACCACAGATTGATTCATGTCATTTCTACTATATTACCTCCTACCAACAACTGGTATCATTTCTACCATCAACCCCTACCACAGATTGATTGATATCATTTCTACCATCAACCCCTACCACAGATTGATTGATATCATTTCTACCATCAACCCCTACCACAGATTGATTCATGTCATTTCTACCATATTACCTCCTACCAACAACTGGTATCATTTCTACCATCAACCCCTACCACAGATTGATTCATGTCATTTCTACTATATTACCTCCTACCAACAACTGGTATCATTTCTACCATCAACCCCTACCACAGATTGATTCATGTCATTTCTACTATATTACCTCCTACCAACAACTGGTATCATTTCTATCATCAACCAAGTTGCCCAAGGACACAATTAGTTGCTCTGTTCAGGATGGTCTGTTTCTTTGACCATCTAGATTTCACAAAATACAATTGTAATTGGTAGCTCTAGACATACATGTATCAGAAGGAAAGTGTGCAGTTGTACAAAGTAAAACTTAGTCATAAAGTAAAAGTTCTGAAAATCTTACCAGTGTTTTCGTCAGAAACCAAAACCGATAGTGTTAACAGGACGTAGTCTACTGTTTTATATATATACACAAGGTAACATGCTTGTGACTCATGCCAGGGGTTCACTCACATGATGTAGTACATCTGCTGTATTATACACACATGTCACATGATTGTGAATAAAAACAAGTCAAACACCTACATATAAGCCAGAGGCAATTAAACAAAGAAATCACTAAATAATTACTGACAAAGTTATATCCCAACAAAGATAGGTGTCTGAATGTGGCATTACCTTAATCTTTAGACATGCCTAGTATAGTGTAAGTTCCATTATTCTTTTGAGAAATATTACATCACACCTTATTCTTTAGATTTTCAGAACAATATCTTTCCAGACAACTTAAATTCTACAAAGAACTTATACATAACCTGGCACTTATATAAATCCCTTTGTATATGTTCTGTGATATGATAATTAGATATAGAGAGCTAGATTTACAAAAAACACTACTTGTGGCGAGATGAAATGGTTAATTTCACTTTCAGTTTCACTTTGTAAATGTGAATTCCTATTAACACAGAAATATTCTCTTTTCAAGATTCGTTTTGTATAATTACACTGAATTGATAAATCCACAAATATTCAAACATGTGATAACATTTCAAAATATCTTGGTGATAATATTAACAACAAACCAATATTTTTACATGATAAACTGTACTACCAAATGAAGCACAAGTAAGATAAAACTTGACATTGTATCATTGCAAGAAAATTTCATTAAACTATAGTTAATCTTATTTTTTGAGTCTCAAAATTACGAGCAGAATCTATTCAATTGAAATATCAGAGATATATCAATATATAAACACATTTATGGATACAATTGAAATAAAGGACATACAGTCATAATCAACATACACTTGCAAATGCTCATTGAGCTTTCCTTCAATGTATTTGCCACAGTACTGTAAAAAATTATCAAAAAATTACAACCATAATCCAAAAGTTTTGATATCCAGTGTGCTTTAATGTGAATGCCTTGAAATAAGCTTGCCTGTGACTTACTTAGGTTTTGGATCACACTCCCACGAGATGCATCTCATAGTCATTATCATTTATTTAAAAATCTAAGCTATGTTTCTCCTAAAGTATTGATTCAACATTAGCAGTTAAAACATCTTTATGTACATATTTGTTGTACTATTGGAAACTTGAGGTACAGAAGATGTATACCATGATGTATAAACTGTTCACTCACGAGACAATGACCCATAAATCTTGATAAGCCGGAACATGATATCAGCTGTTGCTGATGAAATCATGTACATGTGACATAAGTATTTATATAGATGAGTGCTACTACAAAACTCTGTTACTTGTACAGAAAGATGAGTATTACTACAGCTATGAGTTTGATTAATGAAAAAGATGATAAGATATAAGTCTACTTTTAAAGACATTTCATAAAAAGTACAAAGTTCTGTGTAATCAAGCTTGCTGACACGCAATGACACGAATGATTCATCAGGCACAATTTAGCACAATGTCAATGTCAGGTAAACAAAAATGGAACAGTCTGTTTTTTCAGTGAGCATTGCAGGATAAATGGAATACATGTACATGGTCAGAGCTTTAAAATACAAACTGTATTTAAGCTCTGGATATCTGAAGTTTAAATAGCCATAGTCTAAATTTTCAATCAATATTGCAGGATAAATATTGTACATAACTTGTGATTCACCACTTGTCTGTCTTTACCCTTGCCAAAAAACAGAATACAGTCTGTATCTTGTTTGAACCATGTTTAACCAACAAAAGACATTGTATCATAATTTATTTGAAGGTTTTGCAAAGTAGCATATTTCTTTCTTCAGTATTCAAGAAGTTTCACTCATTATAGTTTTTATCAGGATACTAACATTGGAAAGTACAGATTCTCTTAATAGCCTTTGCTGGTGGGAATTACCCTTTTGTAGAGATATACAACTTCCCTGTGGGTGCATGGAGTTTTATTATCTTCCTGTTACAAATTTGGTGCTGTGACCACTCCAAAGGTTAAAGCTGTAGAAAATTGAAATACTTTCTTGGATCTAAATAACCTAGTTTTTTGTTGTCTTCAGGTCGAAGAGTTCAAGACTTTGTGAAAAGAAGGTAGTGTAGAAATTGGGTGTACATGTTGCTTTACTAGACTCAGCTAATTGGAATTTCCCTTTAGTTTAGAGTGTCCAGCTATAGAGATGAAGTGCCAGTTCAAACCTTGAATCTTAGAGACAGAAATGTTCGGTCTACCAAACGGGCCAAGTAGAGTTATTTATATTTAAATATAAGCTGAAAGCCTGTTTCGGCATTGTTGTAAAACAAATAAAATTTATACATGAATCTATAGCTACGCATAAGACAAATTAAAACATCACCAATACAGTGATAACGAAAAGATATAAGGGTTAAAAAGTGTATTAACATGAAAGTGAGTATTTTCGGTTACAAAACCGACATAACAGTCAATCAAATTGTTGTGTAATTGTCAATAGACTAGAGGCCAAATAGATAGTTAGTGACTGACACTTTGACTAAACTCAATTGGGCAGATAATTCAAAACAAAAGTGGACATTAGTTCAAAAAAAAAGTGGACACTTCTGAAATCTGCTCACCTTTAGTCTTCGTGGAGTGTTTCGTGTAAAGGTTTCTTCCTCTTTGTATAAAAAGTGCAGGTCATATGATTGTTTATCATGTGATTGTGAGGAAGTGACGTCACACAAGACTGTATACCGAATTCGTGGGTTATCTACCTTAGTACAACTTTTCTCCACTAGACAACTCTTATTGTGGTTGTGAACAACAGAGAGATAATAAACATTCCGACCGAAGTCCTATGTAACGTGCATTGCCCGTCTTCCTTTGCAACCCTATTTTTTGGGCGAACACCTATGAATTTTAAGTCAAAATTAATAAAGAGCTGTCGAATGATACAATTGTGCAATAAAAACTGTATTTCATTCATAGGTCGGAAACAAAGTGTTTCAACTTAAATCCGTCTCCTTTTCTCAGACTCATGGATTAGTGGTATACGACATCGAGTAGAAAAGTGAAAAGTAAATGTAGATTCTTGTATTAGTAAACGTGAAGAGATAGAACAGAGAAGTAAGGAGAGAGAGTAAAAGTGCGATACTGAAGGAATAAGAGAGGAAAGTTGCCCGTCATTGCTGAAATATATATAGGGGGACTGTAACAACTGTGAATTGGGCCAAAAAAAGCAAACTCTAGGAGCTAATAATGAACATTTGAACACATGAAAAAGCAACGAATTTTTATCATCTGTAATTATTTAAGTCCACTGTCACCGAAGATAATGATAATATTTCGGTTAAAATATGAGTAGTGTGTATGATGAGAATATCAGAAAAAAAGTCGACAATTCAATAAAAAAAAAATGTTCGATGGTCTTGTCTTCTTGATTACAAGTGGACTATTGACAAGGTTTCTACGAAATGGATAAAATCTGAGTGAACTGCATTCTATCACGAACCTTGCATGGTGAATCATGGCTGACCCAGTCTGCTGCCGCTAAACGGAAATAAGGAATTTTGTGGCCATGTGCATTTAAATGATGTTTCAATTTGGTTATTGACGGGTAACTTTTTATTGTGTCAGCTAAAGAATTCCAGATTTTATATAAAGGCTTGGTCGACAAGAAAGAGGACGAAAATTCTTATCAACACGATTATAGATGCTGTTAACTACCAATTTTCGGATCATTCATGGATTTTACTGAGGTCGTAATTTAACATTTCCGCGCTTCTCTTGTGTGTGTCAATAATGGTGTGAGAAATAAGCTCGTATGTCTTTCAAAATGTCATTAATAAAAAGGAAAACAAAAGGGGACCTAATATCGAACCCTGGGGAATCCCAGCCTTAAAGTTCGGCGGGTCAATTAGAGACTTCCCGTTGATAGCAACTCTCTGTTTGCGATTATAAGGATAATTTTTGAACCATTTCAGAAGTGAGCCCCGAGTTTCAAAACAAGAAAGCTTATTTAGGATTTACTTTAGCCAAAAGCGTTCACACGCTTGACTGAAAAAAGCGTATGTTTTTACCATTGTCTGAAGCAGAATGAATTCATGTGTTATAGCTATAGCAAAAACTTGATAAACTGGTGAATCAACACATCTAAATTTGGTGTAATTCCTACAATTATTAAGATTATGTGTATAATTCGACATTAATGACTTTAACATCGACATCCAATCGCTTTAACAGGAAGGTCATTAGCCCCCCCAAAACCTTAATAGGTATATCAATGACAAGTTTAAACAAAGTCACTTAAACATAGAAGTCACTGACACAAAGTCACGTAAATATGAAGATGAATGATATAATGTTACTTTAATTGGGTGATCTGTGTCAATAAATCAAGATGACATGTAGATCATTGACACCCAGAAATGTTTCCATCACAGAAAATTGAAGCCTAAAATTTATCAGTGATGATGATGGCACTAACCGATCTGAAATGGAAAGTGTATTGCATCAGTGTCAAATAACAGTACACAACAGAAAGTGGCATGGAATCTGATCAGGAAGGTACAATTTCTTAATGTTTATTAGTCTTAAGCTGATGGAAATCCTTATCCAAAACTCCAAGTTTGCTGTTATCTGGTAAGTCACATGTGAATTCTTCTGAATTGTGTCATGGTTCAAAATATACACTCATACTTGATGTTAAACCAATATGGTTTCTATAATTATTGGGTTGTAGTATGTATGCCTTTTAATATTTGAATTTTCTGTTTAGGTGATTTCAGTTTTCCTAACATCTTTGCAGGACTGAAAAATCTTTTACAGGTAGAATATTTATAAATCATGATGCAATTCTGTAGTTGTTATAAACTTAATAGCCTTAGTATTAAACAGTACTAATCACCTGTGTCTTTTGTACTAAGTTCTGTTCAAGGATGTTTTGTTTATTCCCTGATGTAAACATAACCCTTTGTCCAGAATTTTGGGGTATTCACATTGTCACATTGCAGAAACAATATTAGAAATGTATTAGGTAGGGCAAAGAGACGTGACACCTGTGTATTATAAGCACGATATTTAAACTAAACATATACAGGTTGACACAATCTGTTTTGAATCCCTCTGGAGCAGAATAGAAATGGTAAAACTGCCATTCATCTAGAGAAAATATTTGTAGGTTTTGTAAAAATATTTTAATCTTGTTCAGAGATCTCACTCTGTTTTGACATATTTCATTAAAACAAGTGTCCATAGGGCCTGTATTGCTCACTTGGATCTTAAAAGCCAAGCAATACTATACATGCCTATAGGTTGGGTATTTCAAATATTTCCAAATTAAAGCTCACTTAACCTCTTTGATAAGGCCCAGCAGGTGTTGGTATGGTTATTTCAATTGGTATTTCAATTATGAAAAAATAAGACCCAGAAATAATGTATCACCCCCAAAGGTCATTTCTTACATATGTGTTTATCTCTTGATGCCAAGCAATTCTAGATAAATGGTAATGCAGTGGGGACTTCAACCATTTCAAAGATAGTGCCAAGAAACTGAGACACTAGGAGCATGGCCAGAACCTAATGCCAATTCTTACATCATGACTGTCTTTATCTCTACATGCCCATCATTAGTATAAATGGTAATGGTGTTGGTATCTCAAATGTTTCAAAGACATAACGCTGAAAGTAAGTGAAGAGAATTCTTACATCAGGATTGTGTTAATCTCTTAATTCCCAGCAATGCTATACATGTTTATGGAATGGGGCTACCTTTATTGAGTTCCTCCCCTTTGCCCAAGACCCACCATTAATACAAAATTGATTCCCCTTCACCAACATAGGCTACAGACCAATTTTGGGCAAAATCTGATAATTTCTATAGGAGTAGAAATTTAAAGAATTTGTTTTATTTCCCTTATTGAGCCCCAGTCCTCCTGTCCCTAGGACTGTTAATACAAAACTGATTTCCCATCACCCACAGATGCTTCTGACCAAATTTGGGCAAAATCCAATCATTCCTACTGGAGGAGTAGGATTTTAAAGAATTTTCTCTATTTCTCATATTGGGCTCCACCCCTTCTGTCTCAGGGGGCCGAGATCAACACTTATACTAATTGATAAGTTATCAACCCATTTTTTAAAAACATGTTTGGCCCCCTCATCACAGCATGCTACCCTTCCATTTATTGAAAAGGATTTTTTTTTACACATTTTTGTCCATGTGACCTTGAAAGTGGGTCAAGGTCATCCATCTGAAAAAACCTTGGCAGCACTTCATCTCAGCATGCAACATACTCTATAAGCACAAGTGATTTGGTTACTGAGAAATTATTAAGATATTTTATTACATTTGACCAATCTGACCTTGAAAGTAAGTTAAGGTCAATCATTTGAACAAATCAAATAGTCCATTACACAAGCACGCTACAGGCTGAATATCAGTGCTTTCAGCCTTTTTGTTATTAAGGAGTTGTTTAAAAATTTTAATACATCTAACTTCTGTGATCTCCAAAGTGAGTCAAGGTATTCATTTGAATAAACTTGGTAGTGCTTCATCCAGTATACTACAGGTCCAATATCAGCTCCCTGGGCATTTAGGTTAACGAGAAGTTGTTTATAAAATTGAAACATATTTGACCCTTGTGACCATCAAAGAAGGTCAAGGTAAATTATCTTATTAAACTTGATAGTCCTTCATTCCAGCATGTTGAAGTTCCATTATCAGCACCCTCAGTCCTTTGGTTATTGGAAAGTGCAGGTAAGCTATCAAACTACAACCAATCAATCAGAAAATTGTGTTTAAGGCATAGCCATAGGGACCAACCTATTTCTCAAACATGTGAATAATCCATCTGGTAGCAGCTGTGACAGCTCAGTCTGTTAGTGCATTGGCCTATGTAACCTCTGCTGTAGATCTAAGAGGTGTCATGCTCTGGACTGCATGCAACAGGTCTCTTGTATTATGTTCAGTGAGTGAGCCACTGGGTACTACAAGGAGACACTGCTTAAAAAGGATCCTGGCTGTTCATTTCGTGACAAAGTCAGCAAACAAACACACAATGCAGTACTTCATGAAAGAAGTTGAGAGCAAGAAAACCTCAAGGATGGACACACAGATGACAGTTGGACAACATAATTTTAAGTTACTGGCATCAAGTCATTGTGACGACAGAACAATAATTAATGTTTCCTTAATTGGATTGTCATTGCCGTTATAATACACTTCGATGTGGAAGTAATTTCCTCGTGTTGCCTTAGATTAGTTAACAATTAGAATACATAACACCAGAGACGCATTTATAAATGTTTAATATGATCAATTGTATCACCAGCAAGCTTATTTGTACCAAGAAGTATTTCATATTATCATACATTCATGTCCTATGATGAGCTGGGTTGTGCATTATACTGTCAACGCATGAATATGACAACAAATAGAGCTGTTCAAACAGCTAAAACTAAGTTTCTAGTAATCTTGTCTGGACATATAAATGGCAGAGAGCTGAACGTTTAGTTGTGAATTTACAAAAAGAAGAGAAATACATTACTATCCAGTTGATTTGCAGAAAAGGATGAAGTTATATGAACTTCTGTACAACATGTGCTGATGTCTTTCAAATCAATGAAACTATATATAAATAGTTATAAAAATAGTTTGACAGATCACTGTCAACAAGTATTTACAAACACATACTGGGCACTGTCAAAAAATGTACTAAAATGCTGATTTGCATGTATCTTTTGAGAGAAAGATCCTTGCAAATATGCATTTTAACATACAAAATAAAACAGGACTGGATTCAGAGTGGCATGACCTGATTAATGATGCAGTTCTGTTTCTGTACAACCCTGAATTGGTAACAAAAAGGACATAAATTACTGTTCAATAACAAACACAAATAATACCACAGGCTGACGTGAGAGTTTGGCTAAGGCTTGTTTAGGAAACATCCATAACAGATTTTTCACAAACTTCTCTGGCAAACAAAACAATGGCTGCTATATCACAGTTTCCAGTATACGAACAGATATCCGAATAACTAGTTGTCTGGTTTAGAACAAGAATGATCCAACTAACCAAGTATGTTGCCTTAGAAAGTTTTGCCTTTTCCCTAAACATTATAAACAAGTTGGAAGGTCCTGGTATGTTATAATACCCATGATAACCTTATAAAGCCAAGTAAATCCTTTGTTAGAAGATTGCAACGTTTGGAATGTTGTCCATTATAAGATAACAGTTATTTATTTCACGCCTCTACAGTTGAAACCAGCTAATTCAGCATGCACGATTCATATGTTGGAACCATGTATTTGATATTAATAAACGCATCCTCTCCACCATGTCTCTCAAAGGTTTCCAATGTTTCTTGGATGAGATCTCCTACATTTTCTCTCTTCTGCTGACTGTAATCGATTCCGTCCCCAGAATTCACTGTAAGGAAAACAGGCACTTTTTATCTTGCAAGCATTAAAATTTACCATTCAAGATTTCTGAAAAATGCTGACAAATCCATAATCTTATCGTACAAAATGTAGACAGTAAATGTTTTAAATTCTTGTTGTTTATTTTGCAAAACTATTGAATTATTATCTTTTAATTGAGATGTTTATGTCATCCAAATTTCTCTTTCTTCTAGATTTATATATTACATCTACTAAACTAAAAACTTACAATTGTGGTTCTTAAATATATTGAGGATTGGCAGGATTTGTCTGTAGTAAGGCACCAGTGCTTCCCCGACCATATCTGCAGACACCACTAGATGTTGTAGAATTTTCAATGTAGTACACACCACAGAGTGAGTTCTTGTATTCAAGGCCACTGCAAACAGAAAAAAAAAAAACAAATTAGAGAAATTGCTCATAATGTATACATTTATATGAGTATCTTTGTACTGTTTAGGTATATATTTTTGCTTTTATTTTATTTTAGTACTTTTTGCACTGAAGGTATTCCACTGAAATATTAATGTGCTTATTGTAGTTCTACATGTTGTTCCTATACTAATTATTGTGGATGCACAAATTTATCAATGAAATATAAATATGAAAAATATTATACCTAGGGAATGAAATCCTTTAGACACATAAAATCTAATGCCCTTACTTTTGATTGGAATGATAAGTTGAGGAATAACAGGCAGTATCTTTGTGCCTCCATGCTCCAACATATCATGAACTCCTTGCCTGGCGAAGAATTCGTACGGATGTTCTGTCTCACATAATCCATCGAAGAACAGGGGAAGGTAATGGTGGTAATCAAGTTTTTCAATCTCAACCTAAAAAAAGAGAAGTGTGAGTCAAATTTTACAACTGATGTCAAAGAGTTATACTGTACAATAAAAACAGTCACCAATTGTGTGAAAACATTTTTTCTTTATCAATGATGAAACAAGATGGTCATCTGACCATGAAGATTGAGGACTTTTTTTGTGTTAAACAACTCCCGATTATTTTCCGTCAAAATGAGTAAATATGTTTTCATTAACAAGCATAACTGTATGGTACACATTTTCCAAATTTACACCAACTTTTACTCTAGTCTGAATAGGCTATCATAAACAAAATCAAATAACAGGATTTACTTTCTGCTCCATCTCGGTGCATATTATTTGTCATACAATCTCAGTGCATATTATTTACCTTTCATACAATCTCGGTGCATATTATTTACCTCCTATACAATCTCAGTGAATATTATTTACCTCCCATATGATCTCAGTAAATATTATTTACCTTCCATGCAATCTTATTGCCTTTTGTGTCATGTTCCAAAGCTATTGGGAAGTCTCCTCTTTTATAGAACTTTGCAAATGAAGTATCACCTTTCTTAGTTCTTTCTGTAAAAGCACCTGCCAGTGGAGGACTGCCAACATTAGTCTGAAATTAGAAAGAAATACCTGCTTTAATTATTAAGTACAAAGAAATCAAAATGAAAAATACCTGATCAAACTTTGGACTGGTAGATTTACTAAATTGGGATAAATTCCAAAGGAATCCCCACCATGGACTGCCATGATGCAAAACTATAATCCTGACTCCCCCAGTTCCCATAGGGCCTGGTGGAAAACTATTAACAACGTGAAAATGTTGACATTAAACATTCCTATATGTCTTTCAGTACTATCTGAGAGTAACAAATTTTTATCAAAATCCCAAACATCACTTGCTGGCAACAGGCCCATATTAAAAACATGGGATCAACCTCCATATGAAATAGATCTGTAATTAACTTTATGAGAAACTGACAAAAACAAAAAAATTACCATCTGTCAGCTGCTTTTAATCTTTCAAGTCAGTTTCAAAAAGAATAAGAAAGATTACAGAACAACTACATAGTTGATAAAGACTCATCAATTTTCTTAAAAATAGCAAATACAAACTTTCATTATAAAAACTGAACATGGCAGAGTGTAAAGTACTTTATTTTTCTGAGCATTGGATTTTGCCCTCTTGAAAATTTAACACTTACAACAATAACATGAATGGTGAGATTCAAAAACATGATTTTGATTAATTTATTCAAACTTATATTAGTAAATGAATTCGAGTTTCATATGATATATATTGATGTGTATTATTTTGGAAAATATGTTAAGTTGAATATATTGATTGCTCATTTAAAATCTACTGCAATTTAAAAGAGAAGTTTGATCACTTTTGATTGGTATTCAGGATGATTATAAACTCTTATGAATTATATCTATTTTTAAAAAATTGCCAATATAAATTCTAAAGATACATGTATCAATAGATGAAAGCAGAATTTGAGAATTTTTATAATCTTTTATAACCAACTTGTTTTACCAACTTCTTCTTTTCAGATTGAATATAGTTTGCCTGACATGAAAAAAGTAGTTTATGTCAACTTATGGGTAACAAAAGTACTTGTGAATATTCATTTTAGCTTCACTGAATTGACATCTTCAACTCTAGTCCAAATTATTTTGATATACTATTGAATTTTGCCTTGACTGATATAAAAAAAAAATCAGCAAAACATCAGAAAAGTTAGGAATACCTCCACTTCTTACTATGAATTTGTTATGTATACAGTACATCAACCCTTTATCAAGAAGTGAAGATTATGACAATATAAAGAATGTGTGAGACATAATGGGAAAAAAACAGGAAACAAAAACGTCATTTAGCATAAGTTAGTATGCTGGTTTTGAAGCCTCTCAAGAGAGACGTCTGTGACAAGATCTGGTGAAAGTACTGTAATAACGCTAATGTTAGGCTTGTCCCTCATCTGTTAAAGGATTTGTGAACCAGCAAGAAATGAAACATGTAGATCTTATATCACTAAGTTCATCAAAATACATACACATGGTATGATACAGTGTAGTTGTCATTTTCCCTCTCATGTACATTTAATATAAATACATTGTTGTAAATTCTATATTAAATTAAATATCTGTTCACTAACTAGTGGGAATATTTATTCCCTGACTTCTTCGTTGCGATCGACAGACAAATAATTTCAATATATAACATGTCATCTACTCTATGCTGCGAAATCGTATCTATAGTCCTACGATACCATAGTCCATACATTACCTGACATCCTTTTTTCATTGCCTTGGTTGTGAAAGCATTGTTTCTGTACTGGACCACTTTTTCTGGTTTAGTCTTGGGTATGATCTTTGCCTGTGACATCTTTAAGATTCTTTGTGAGCCTTTCGGCCTAAGTTTACTCACAGCGATGTCTAGTTACTCTATACTGTCAGCTACTTTTAACACCAATGTTGATCATGGAGTCCACAACAGTTGTTGTTGTCAGGCAACAAACACAGACCCGGATGAATCGTCAGTGTTGTTAAGGTTACGGTCTCATTTCCGGTTCCGTTTTAAAATGTCGGCATTTCCGTTTTAATGCATGCCGGCTAGTTCTTGAGAAAGATGAATTTCAAGGTATTTTCAAGATGCTTAGCTACTGTATTGAGACCAAATACGCCAAAGAAAGAATCTAAACAATTTTTAACAAATAGATGTCCATTGTGGCGTATTACACAGCATTCGCAGTCATTTTCCACTCTTCAAAGTGCACGGTTTAACAGACAGGAAGACAAGCAAGTGTTCAGTAACTCGAGTAAGTATCCTCCGTAGGACCGTACATAAGTTTCGGAGCCCCAATATTTTTTTGCTCAATAACTATGCTTTGTTGATGAATTGTAACCAAAACAAATACATAATTCATTGAATTCCGTTCATACTAACTGGTCGGGCACAGACCGATTTATCGCAAAAGAACCACAAACTTCATCACCTTCATTGTTTATCAACTGCTGATAATGTGGTATGAAATAATACACAGGTAAATTCATGCTCACCTATGGCATTTACACTAAATGATCCCACTGACAATACACTGTAGTCAATGGAGATCTAATTCATTGATATAAATTGTCATTTTAACACAAAGTTAGGTAACAGAAATAAACATTTTGCTTGTAATTATTGAACATTGTCACATAGGAAGGAGTAGTGAAATTCTGGCTCTGCTGGGGTTCTATTTAGTGACTATTCTATCTCTAACCAGACAATCTACAGTCAGCTAAAGGGAAATTCAGCATTTGAAGCATTATTTCATGGTAAAATGATCCTTGGTTAAGTGAAGCATTTTATTATTTTTTCATTGTCTGACCCAATGGGTCAAGATGACCTATTGTTATTGTGTATCATAATGCACCATTTATAAACTTTGCCTTTGAAATATGTATACTTCTTCTTAACACCAGGGCATATTTCAACCAAATTTGGTCTGAAACATCATTGGGGTAGGTAATTTATTTCTCAAATTCAGAGAGTTGATTTGACCCCTTGGGACATGGGAGCAGGGTCCCCAAAGGGCAAGTTAGTTAATATTATTCTTTTAAATAGCACACTTCCTTAATTGTATTAAATTCTCAATTTTGTCAGAAGCATCATTAGAAATGGCAATTAATTCTTACCTTCAGAAAGTTGATTCAACCCCAAGGAACCTTAGGGTGGGACCCTAAAAGAAAATGTTAGGTAATACTTTGCTCTTTAAAGTCTACTCCTTCTTAATTTCTGGGTGAATTTTACCCAAACATTATTAGGATAGGGAATCTTTTTTGTTGATTTGGCCCCTAGGGATCTGGGGATGGAGCCCTTAAAGGAATATAGCTTTTGTGCAGTAGAATGCTTGGTCAATAGGCTTCCAAGTTTGCAAAAGATTACTTTATGAACCAACAAAGTTTTCTGTGTAAATTGCAGAGCAGGAGAGAAATTTAGGCCCACTGGATACTTTGTTAAAATGAGCAGTTTTGTCCTGCTTAATCATTTGACTTTGTGCCCAGATTTTGTTGCAGCATGATATAAAGAAAGACAAAATGCTGCTATGGGCAAAGGATCTCTTGTTGAGTAGAAAAGTGACAGAGGATTTCATATTTAGTAACAAATGTTAATACTAAGCATTATGATATGACTTCATCACTGTGTAATTGTATGTACATGTATATATTTTATCTTCTATAAGGTGAGGTTCCGTATGGCATACAAGCAAGAAACTTTACCATTGGTAGGAAGTTATGGTGCGAGAAGAACGATGAATTTGAGCCAATTAGGAATCCAAGCACTATAAGAGGAAAAATAGACAAATTTGATTATTCAGGTAATTTAAGGACCTTAGTCACTATTTAACAATAACAATAAAAAATAAAATCAGATTATCACATTATGTTGCAGATATCACTGAAATATACAAGTCATGGTGAGATGTGCAGGCACCATGGATGTCTTGAATTTTAGTATATGAGGATGGAAAGGGTGTATATAGTCATACCTATGTGGTCAATCCTATAGTGTCATTTTACTAGGGATATTGAGGGTGATCCTAACTGTATGGATGTTATTACTATGTGTGATAATCTTATTGCTTAACCAGGTTTGTGTCTGTTTTGGTTTACAGGTGAGCTGGCTCCATTACGCAGACTTGACCCTAAAGATACGCTTTTTGTGTTCAACAGTGTTGAAGAACTAAAAGAGTAAGTAATAATTAATCATATTGTGTTTAGTTTCTTGTTGTGTACCTTCGAACAAACCACAGCAAATGTAATTTATGTTGTTTTGAAGTAAGGAAAACGCAGCATATAACAAAGCTAAATACAAGATCAGTAATTATTATTTTTAAGTTTACACAAATTGTGACGAACATATTTTCCAGATTATAAGCTGTGGCTTCTTTCCTTGTCGGTCGGGTGTGCAGTTTATACACCAGTGCTGTTTATTTGTGGACAAAAAAAACCCCAGGTCCATCATATGATTTTGACTGAAACAGATTGTCTAGAACCATCATTTGCAATCATATACTGGATGATTTTTAGATAGGAATCAAAATAACATCTTTTGCATTTAATTAATCATACCTCTTAATATGAAGTATAATAATATCTTCTGACCTTTTGTGATTGCTTTAGAAGCTATAGTGGAAGTTTACAATAGCCTGTTGCATCCTGGGATCGATAGGTCATCAGTTAATAGGTCAAATTCTAGAATGACCACCATGCTTGGTTTATGATATAATGGCTTTGTGTAACTTACAAGAAATATTATGAGACCATAAGAGTTTTGTCAGCATGCAAGGGCCTTCGCTAATATTTAACAGTACGGACACTGATGGAGATATTGCAAATTAAACCCTACGTAACATCAGGCCCTATGTCTGTGTACACAATCTTTGGAGGCTCCTGAGCCAAACAAGTTTGATAATTGCTATTTTATGTTTTTGAAACACATCATTAAAATATAAGATTGTCAGTGTATAATACTTTTGCAAACATTATTAAATGTTTTACTGGTGATCTTAATAAATTGCTGTCCGTTGTCTGTTATATCAAAGAACTTTGGTCAACAGAATGGTTATCATATAGTAAGAAAGGGTGCAGCTAATATGTGGGTCAAATCGAGAGAAAATTGTTTAAAATTGGCTCTGCGGCTTGTGTACCGATGTGGTTTATAACCTGGAAAATATAGCATTCATTAGTTTTTGGGACTAAAATATTTGAGTCCTGGTCTCATGCTCTTCCTGTGGAACTCGCTCAAATTTTAACAAACCACTCTACCTGTTAGTAACTGGGCCCATAAAAATTTGGGTAATGGTTTCTCTGGACTTACCACAAAAGAATCCTTCAAAAATTCACAAAGATGCAAAATGTATGTCATGTATTAGTTTGTGACTACAGATAGGAAAATCACCAAAGGGAGATAACAAATAGTTAGAATAGTGCAGACAACACTTTCTAGGCTTAGAATGATGTCCTGTTTTGTCTGTTGTGTGACACAACCATTTCACAATTTCAGCATTCTTTTTAAAAAAAACTGAAGGAATCTTTACCAAATTTTATGTGAATGATCATCTATTTTGTACTTTCAATAAACCACATCAGAGCTCAACATTTAAAAAAAGCTCCTTTTTCAAAGTGTGTTCATGTATATATCTTATTAGCAAAAAAAAAGTATTCTCAGGTGTCTTTCTTTACATGAAATTGTAATTAAATACTGAGAAATTCATTTTTATATATCACAAAGGTGCCTTTAACACTGACTTGTCTTAACTAACATGATATGAACTGATAAACTTTTGGCGATAGCTCTAGCTAACTGTAAATACAAATAATTAGAATTTAATAAATACATGTTCTACTATTACACTAAAATAGGAGAAATAGTGAAGTTAGAAATTTTATACATAAGACTTCATTATTCATACTGTCATGTCCAGTCTTTCAACATGTCTGACTGTCATCAGAAGAACTCTCACCAACTAACTACTACACTGCACAACACAACAACCATAACAAACTAGCTAATCAGAACAATAGATGTCTGCAATGATCAATATGACTTAACAAGGCTCTAATACAAGGCACAATTTCAACTTTCATCATAAACAGTATATTAATCAAGTAAAACCGGAAATCTACTTTCTACAGTTGTATATTGTGATGGTTCAAATTTCTGCAGTTTTATTAAATGATCCAAGCACATTGGAGATATTTTCCACATAATTCATAAAAGTTTTTAAGTTAAAGTTTGCTTTCAAGTAATTTATTTTTGTTGCATTTTATTCTGTCCTCAGAGGTGCAAAATTGAAATCCTCAAATATAAGGAGTAAGCATAAATGATATGCCTATACCACTAATTGATCGTCAAATACAGTTGTTCATAGAAAATATGAAACTGTTAACAAAACCCAAATTAGGAAACAAAAAACGTGTAATGATAATACATGTGATTGAGTCTAATTCAGAGTGATGGAAAAGATTTAGCAACTTTTGCTTTAATATCACAATGTATGAACATTTGGATTTTCTTTCCAACTTGTTCCTATGTGTGTTTCATGAAAACAGCAAAAAACAGTGCTGATGGAACATGTAAAAAGGTCAAACCTTTTTTTTGATGTTAGAAATAGTTTATTCAGAGATTAATGCTTTTGTTTCCAGTGCACCTGAAGTTGTTCAGAAGCTATGCTCTGTTGAGTTTGCTGACAGGGTGAGTACTTCAACTGGCTTCTACAACCTAAGAAATCTTTATCTTTAATGATCAGCCATAATGCGATGGCATCTGATTCTTTTAGGGCTTTGAATTTCCTCAATGTTGAACCAAACTTCAGTAGCTAATTATCTAACCCCATCCTCCATGTGCTTATTATCTTACCCTACTTTATTCTCATAATGTTACTGAGCCTTCAGTGGACTTATCTTATCTTGAAAGAAAAAAAAAACAGGAGTACCTAGAAAGACATTTTGGTTACATGAAAATTAATGACAAAGTGTCTCAAAACTGATCATATTTAAACTCCTTTATTAGTTAGGCCTGCTGATGTTATATTTATTTTTTTTTGACAGAGCTCTGTCAATGATGTCTGAAAAATGTCAATTTTACTATCAAAACCAAATTATTATATCATTGTTGAATTAATTAATCACCTTTTAAAACATAAAACAGGTTTGAAATAAAGAGGAATTATACTAGATTTATTGTAAAATTAAGACTTATAAATATGATATTGTACCATCTAACATGAAAACATAATGAAATATAATGAATATCACTGTGCAACATACTTGATATATACTTTAAAGATGTTTTCTAACCAAAAAGTAATGCTCAATTTACCAAATGAAACAGCTGAAAAAAATATTTGAAATATATATTCAGTATTGCTTATCTCAGATGTTAAGGCATCTTGGCATCTTGTATGCTGTCTGTGTTTCAGTGAGTGTGATGTTCTGTAGCCAAGGTTTTTAAGGTAATATTATGTACCAAAGTACCTGCTTGATATCTTTGTTTGTGCTATAGTGTTATGTTGTTATTGCCTTCATTACAGCTACAGAAGAGGTTTCATAGAATATTTGCAATGAAGGATACGATACGTAAAGTCTGTGGTGTGGAACATCGACGAGAGATGATTGGTGAGCTATTGGATTCTATCAGCTGAATTTTGGCACAATGAAATTTTCATGCATTAGAATGTTTTGACAAATTAGTGCAATATTAAGCTAGTGCATCCAAAATAAAGAATTGGTAATTAGTACAGTGTTTTTCAGCACAGAAAGCATGAAGATAACTGCTAAAATAAGATTATCACTCAGATATGTACCACATTATTTCAGGCTTTTGTTGGATCTCCCATTCCTTGTATATACCATATACAGACTATCAGAATTCATCAAATAAAAAATGTACTAGTCAACTGGGATGTCAGTTTTACAGAATTTCAAAATACATCATACTTATCAGAAAAAGTTTTCAAAGAATTATGGTTTTAAGTATGTTGCAACACCTGTATACAGGTAAATGGTAGGAAAAATAGGAGAGATGATCAGCTTCCTGCCAGGCTTGACTAACTTAGTGACATTGTTTCCTTTTAATTTTCCAGATTTTGAAGAAGTCAGTAATGAATTAAATATTTAGAGATTGAAAAGTTAAGGTATTCATAGAGGAACAGTTGATGACCAGGCTTATTTGATGTACAATTTGTTACTTTCAGTTGCCAACATGACTTTGCAGATTCGAGCTACCATTCACCACTTACAAAACTTTCCTAGGGTTTGTATCCTTTTAATTTTTAGTTTCAACTTTATCTTAAAAAGTTTCATGGAATCTTGTCCCAGGGTGAAGTTTGTGATTTATTCTTTCTCTGTGTTTTTGGAGCAATATCATTACTGTTAGACTATGTTTGTTTGTGAATACTTGTTGTCACTGATTATCTGCAGTAAAAATAAAATAGTTGTCATTGATTATCACCTGGAAACAATTTTTACTGATAATTGGCTGAAAACAGTTGTAACTGAGTTGTTACTGATTATCTGCTGAAAACAGTTGTTACTGATTATCTCCTGGAAACAATTGTTACTGATAATTGGCTGAAAACAGTTGTTACTGATTATCTACTGAAAACACTTGTTACTGATTATTGGCTGAAAACAGTTGTTACTGATTATCGACTGAAAATAGTTGTCACTTGTGTTCTGAGATAATAATTTTTATAGAGTCATAAAGTCTTCATGTAATGCATTGAAAAATCATTAAAAGTTTTCTTCACTGTTACAGGATATGCAAGCCAAGAGATTTGTTGTTGAAAAGATTGCAAAAAGGAAACGGGAACTCAGACGATTGCGTGCAGAAGATTATGAAAGATTTTTGTGGCTAATGAACAAACTTGAAATTAAGTATGTGCCACCCTCTATGTATACTCGAAAGGAGACAAAGTATGGTCGCAGAAAGAGATTGGCCAGGGAAGAGGCTTTCCAAATGAAGGCACAAAAGCTTGATGAACTGAAGGCAAGATTGGATGCTGAAAAAGTATTGTTTTCCAAAGAAAAGGACGTAATAATGAAAGAAATTGAAATGGATTTGACAAAATTTAATATTGACAGAGAAGATGTGTTAAAAAAGGTCGAAGAAAAGAGACGTGCAAAACTAGGGCTAGATTGAATTGTGTTCAAGAATCAGGTCATCTATCTAAAATAATCTCAAGTTAGAAGTTATGTGACACCGAGGTCACATGTTGAGATATTCATGAGTTGTGTGAGTAAAAGTGTATTTTACAGTAAAATTAAGGATGATACTGGCAGAAATACAACATATCACAAAACCATTACCGTTGTTAGAGAAGCAATTTTCCATTTTATGTTTATTTCAGAAATGATATCAGGGAAATCGAAATCATATTTGTATATCATGGTCAAATTTGGAAACAAGAAAGATAACTCTTGCAGGTTCAATTTGAAATTACATTGAAATGAAATAAAATGGATTGTTTACACCTTACAAAGTGTATTTTTATATACATATGTTTAATTTAGCATATACCACTTATGAATTGTTTAATTTATTGTCCATCATTAAGTGTGCTTAACTTACCTACACAAAATTGGGGTATTGTTATTAATATTATTGGCCTGGCATCAGCGTCCAGTAATAGTGGAGATTGGTTTTAAAAGTAGTAGTTACTGCTAGAAGAACAGTAATAGAACCTTAATGAGTGTGTGTAATGGACAGAAAAATCTCAAAAACCAGAGTGTAAGAGCCACAGTTTTGAAGGTAGTAGTTACTGCTAGTAGAACACTGATAGAAACTTACAAAAACTAGAGTGTAAGAGTTTGGCCATGTAGAGTGAGGCTCAACATTTTTTTTCTTTTCCACATTTTTTTCCGAGAGTTCCCTGTCCATGGAATACACCCACGCCTGATTATTTTTACTCTGTTGCTTCAAACATTGTCAAAATTGCCACATGGATATATACAGAGCAGAGGAACACACTTCTGATGTTTATGATGAACACTCCCACACATGCAAAGCCTATTGCTAAACATTAACAGTAGTATGTTTAAATTTTGCCAATATTACATGAACAAAAGTGTCTGGCCATAACCATGACAATAAAGAGCTCCAGAACAACATCAGACAACTGATTACCATAAGGATATGCCTCCAGAAGCCATATCGCTTCTTAAAGTAACCATATATATATATACATATGTTGTACAAGGTTATGTGAGTGAATGAAAAATTCAAAACATCATAAATTTATAAGTTTATTTAACAAAGTTCATGCAGCTACCTTATAAGGTATTCAACAAATTAAAAACATGGCAACAAGCAATATATCTTTAAGACATGAAAATATACATTTGACAAAACTGTCTTACCAATAATTCTGTGTCTGAACCATCCTCTTACCAATAAAAGTGTGTCTGGACTGTCTCCTAACCAACTAAAAAGTCTCCTGTATCATAAACCCATCAACCTGTCCTCTATCGCACACATTAACATAAACCTGTCCTCCATCACACATGTCGACATAAACCTGTCCTCTATCACACATGTCTACATAAACCTGCCCTCTATCACACTCATTAACATAAACCTGTCCTCTATCACACGAATCAACATAAACCTGTCCTCCATCACACGTCAGCATACACCTGTCCTCTATCAAACACATTAGCATAAACCTGTCCTCTATCACACATGTCTACATAAACCTGTCCTCTATCAAACACATTAACATAAACCTGCCCTCTATCACACACACAACATAAAACTGCCTTCTATCACATACATTAACATAAACCTGTCCTCTATCACACATATTGACATAAACCTGCTCTCTATCACACTTATTAACATAAACCTGTCCTCTATCAAACACATTAACATAAACCTGCCCTCTTTTACACACATCAACATAAACCTGTCCACTTTCACACACATCAACATAAACCTGTCCTCTATCATACACAACATAAACCTGTCCTCTACCACACACATTAACATAAACCTGCCCTCTATCACACACAACAACATAAACCTGCCCTCTATCACACACAACAACATAAACCTGCTCTCTATCACACACATTAACATAAACCTGCATTCTATCACACAAATCAACATAAACCTGCCCTCTATCACACACAACAACATAAACATGTCCTCTATCACATTAACATAAACCTGTCCTCTATCATACACAACATAAACCTGTCCTCTACCACACACATTAACATAAACCTGCCCTCTATCACACACAACAACATAAACCTGCCTTCTATCACACACAACAACATAAACCTGCCCTCTATCACACACATTAACATAAACCTGCATTCTATCACACAAATCAACATAAACCTGCCCTCTATCACACACAACAACATAAACATGCCCTCTATCACACACATTAACATAAACCTGTCCTCTATCACACACATTAACATAAACCTGTCCTCTATCACATATGTCGACATAAACCTGTCCTCTATCACACACAACATAAACCTGCCCTCTATCACACATGTCAACATAAACCTGTCCTCTATCACACCCACAACATAAACCTGCCCTCTATCACACACAACAACATAAACCTGTCCTCTATCACACACAACATAAACCTGCCCTCTATCACACATGTCGACATAAACCTGTCCTCTATCACACATGTCGACATAAACCTGCCCTTTGACCAAATGCATAATAACATAAACCCTGCCTTCAGACCTCACTAACATTAACAAAAACCCAACCTCTGACCTTAAAAGCATGAACAGTAGTCTGCCCTTAGACCAGACAACCCCAAAATTAACTAAAAATGTTCTCGGGCAACATAAAAATCAACATATCCCCACACTTGCACATTGTCTTTAAGTTAAACTCTACCTCTAACACACAAATCTTAACATAACCCTGTCCTCAAACACAAATCTTAACATAACCCAGCCCACACACTACACATATCTTGCTATAAACTCGTCCTCTAACACACAAACATGTCCTCTATATGGGTTTGTGACTTATCCATAATTACTTCAGAAATTTGAGTTTTTGAGTCTTTGACAAAATATGCTGTTAAAATACTGAGCTTACCTCCACAATTTGACAAGATTCGTAATATGTAATGTGTATTATCTTCTTTTCCGCACAATTTCTGAACGTTGCAATGTCTTAAAAGTTCTGTTCACGAACTATAACGATGTCTGGACTACTTGCTTGACATATTGCCTTGGCACGTAGCCAAAACTCTTGGCTCGGGGTGAAAACACCCACAGCCAATGGGCATTACCGCGATTCCGACCGTCGTCGTAGACGTTTTCCCCGCGTCGGACGGTAAGGTCATCTTGAGAGCGCGCTGTGTAGTCGTAGAGTATCACACATTCGATTACGTTGTCATTCGCTTTAGAATCGTGCGCTCTTTCGTCGTCTGGTTGCGTTGACTGTAGCGGTACATTTGCATATATGTTATTTGACTCCGTTTTATTTATCACTGAATTTGTTGCGGTAGACACCTGTTGGTTAAGTGAAATTTCTTTGTCAGTTGATTTATTTGACAAATGCGTGGTCTCGTTACTATAGTGTTTTGATGGCACAGAAACGACCCTATCCGTTTGACTACCTTTCATTGAGTCAGTTTGTGAATGGTTACTAGTTTCATATCTCGGAGTTGTTGGCAAAGACGAAGCGCATGCAGGATCATCAAAGTCACTATCTGAGGCGCATTGTAGGGGTTTAAATGTGGTCGACAGACCTGCCTCATGTTGATCGTTCTGTGTGATTGTCTGGCTGAAGGCTCGAGTCGGTGGACGAATGGTGATCACCTGCGATGTTGGGGATGGAAGTGTAGACGTTGACTCATTGAATGCATGAAAGTTACTAAGTGTACCATGACCAATGTTAGACATGTCCTGATGTTTGTTCACTGCGTCGCTGCTAGCGTAGGTCATTGAAAGTTTAAAAGACGCATCGTTTAACGATCGCTTTGTGTTTGTCGTTACATTGAGAGCAGGTTGCGATAAGTATGGATGTCCTGTTCGCGTGTTGTTAGACGCCCTGTGATGGTTTTTTGGTCCCAGTATAGAGGAAGACGCAGATGAGCGCCCAGTCGCGCTACTTTGACGACTGTGTCCGCCATTGACTGCCTTCTCTAAAATAGATCAATCTGGATGTATAGTGATACTTTCAGATTACACGAAATCGTCATCGACACTAATTTGTCTTGGACGCCATAATATATATATGATTTTACCAGATTTTTTTCTTTCCTGACATTGGCATCAACACTTACTATGCGCGATGCTTTTACAGGGAGTAAAATATTGCGTAGCCATTACATTTTCTAATTAACATTTACCATGAAGATCAGTGTTACAGGGAAGTCTCCCTTAGTACAACCTTCTTAAATACGTACCTATCGCCTTAAGAGGTTCAACGGGGCAAATGTAGGACTTCGGCACGAACCCTTCGCGGCCGTCGCAGTGACGGATCCATGACCAATCCGGGTCCTCGATATTCAGAACATCCACCAACTCCGCACGCTCCACATTCGTGTCGTTCTCGTCTAGTGCCGAGAAGTCGAAAAGCGCAATGAACTGGCCATGTGACGTCTTCCGGAAAGGTCTGACATCCGGTTTATCCTCCTCTACAACGGGAGGCGGGGGCTGTAATATCCGTATCATCTCCTCGCGTGTGATTATTCCCTTATGGGTAGTTGGGTCTCTTCGATCCGGCACAGAATCCGGTTTAGAAGACACCGGTGACCACTCATCTGTGAAAAAACAATCTTTTCCTAAAACATCTTCGTTATACAAGGTACCATATTTGGTGTTCCTATTTAACATGTCTGACGATAGTGATTCTGGACCGAACAACCTTGTACAGTAACTATACGGAATGAATCCCTCCTCGCCGTTTCGTTTAATGACGTATCCCCAGTCATTTTCTTTATATAAGAGATACACTTCTTCCCCGCGTTTTACTGCCACCTCCTCATCAACACACGGTTCGAAGTCGAGAATAACCCTGACTTTTGACTTCGGTGATAGACCGCTCTCTTTCTCAAGCCCCACACGCTGTATGGTGTCGGTGCTGTCACTACCTGTTATCCTGCCAGGAAGACCAGCAAAAGGCTTATCTGAAACAACAATTAAGTCACCATTAGACGGGCATATATTAGCTACGTTTTGGAGATTTAAGCATGAAGAAGTTCTCTCCAAAATACATTTTAAAACATTTGGACTATTTTAACAATTATGTGTAAACTGCCAAATTCATTATTTGGGTGTACTGTATCTAACCTGAAGGTGTTATAAAATTGTGTTAATATTTTAAGGTTTTGTGCCTAGAGAATACTTTTAATCTGCAACTTAAAAAGGCGGGGGATAACTTGATTGAATTCACCAAAAATCAATTATTATCTCCCTTTCTCGATTGGCCAACTTCACGCTTATCATCAACGATTGCGTTTCAAAAGAACATTAGAGCAGCATGACATGTGCTGGTCGACAGGGAAAGAGAGAAGGACTTATCTCCAGTCGTGCACACGTGGTCGAAAATAACAACTTTATTTCAAACGACACTGAAACAACGCTCTGAGGTATGGCAATCGTGGTGGTTCACAAATGTATGAGAGATTGTAAAAGTCCCAGAGTAATAAATCATGAATGGTACAGATTCTATCTCACCGTTCCACTACGATAGTGGGCTTGATAGCGGATAACAGTGAAAGAAGCTCTCAGTGTGATATTGACAAAGTCTTAAGGCTTTTTTACTAGAAGTAGATGGCAAAGTCCTAATATTTCCCCAGTTTGGTAGTTATGACTCCCTAAGTTTGGTATGGTGACAAAGTCATAACGCTTCTCAGTTTGGTAGCTGGTCATAAGACTCCCCTTTTTTATATGGTGGTTAACAGGATTATGTTAACCGCCCCTACTTTTGTTGTTATTGACACATAATCATAAGACACTCCCACTTTGTACTTTGGTAGTGGATGACTTTTTCATAATACTTTCCCAATATGGTAGCCGGTGACATAGTCATAAGACTTTCCCACTTTGGTAGCCGGTGACATAGTCATAAGACTCTCCTACTTTGGTAGCGGATGACATAGTCATAAGACTCTCCTACTTTGGTAGCCGGTGACATAGTCATAAGACTCTCCTACTTTGGTAGCGGGTGACATAGTCATAAGACTCCTCCATATTGGTAGCGGATGACATAGTCATAAGACTCTCCTACTTTGGTAGCGGATGACATAGTCATAAGACTCCTCCACATTGGTAGCGGATGACATAGTCATAAGACTCTCCTACTTTGGTAGCGGATGACATAGTCATAAGACTCCTCCACATTGGTAGCGGATGACATAGTCATAAGACTCTCCTACTTTGGTAGCGGATGACATAGTCATAAGACTCCTCCACATTGGTAGCGGGTGACATAGTCATAAGACTTTCCCACTTTGGTAGCGGGTGACATAGTCATAAAGCCCCCCTATTTGGTAGCGGGTGACATAGTCATAAAGCCCCCTACTTTGGTAGCGGATGACATAAGAGTCCAGCACAACTAAACATCCGTGTGGCCTATATGGATGATGACTGGGGTAAGAGGACCGCCGGTATGTAGTAGATTGAGAGATAGTATTTAATGTCTATAGTCACATCATAGGGATGATAGTGTGTGCCCATCCAGGCGGAAAAGTGACCTCTAGAATATCTTTATAAATAAAAATTCTAAGTTGATACACACCCTCTACCTAATGTTTGATCTATTAAAACATCTCAACCTGAGCCACGAGGTATGCAAAAGGCATATGAGACTAAACAGATCTTCAGGGTGTATACCCTCCTTAAAAATAATCATTAGCCTTTAAGAAGTATACAACTGAAGCGCTGATGGAAGAAAACGCATGGCTTATGTTCTGATCTCAATGTCTGCAAGGATTCGATACAATAAAATTGTCAATTTTAGGTAACTGCGGCGAAATGTTTTAGAATCAACTTGTGGCTTCTCGTGATGGTATAGAAGCCAAGTTACAATTTCATGTAATAGTCATATATTAATTAAAATGGTATACCCCTAAAGTACCCGCGTTTTCAGTAATACAAAAATCGATGTTTAAAAGTCCGAATATCTCTGTGCTCATTGAGATATTTCAAGAACTTTCAAAATCAACATTTCTCAATGACAAGTAAGTTATTTAATATCACATGTAACATGTACCTCTTACTTAATAAAATTTTAACAATAGTTCCCTAATTGTAAATATGTGTACTTATATTATATATTTTCTGTGATATACTTCCATACGCGGTTTTTATACTATCAATGTAATTAATTTAATTACCTTTCTTTCTGGGTGTTCTCACTTTGGTTTTCCTGCCCACCCGACTTGGACAAAGGAACGCCATCAGCTAGGATGCTCTAAAGACATTAACGTGTCCTTGTTTACCTGTCTACATCCGCCTTCGTATGTCGATTTACGGTAATAACTTAAGCACAGATTTAAGGCACTGATTCACAGTTCGTTTCTCAACTGGGTGCTCACAAAGAATGCGACCGTCCATTCCATTGTGTTTCTTCGTATCGTGAATACACATGTGTATATTTAAAGTATGCTGAGGTTCAAGTACCCTAAACAGCCAATAGGTATCGCCAAAAGTCATAGATCTGTTTTATATATACGTTACATAGGAATTTCGTTTGATTAAAGTCCTTGTGTAGTTCTTATCGTCGCTTTGTCGACTTAAACCCCTTAATTGATACTCGTTATAATGTAAACAGTAGTATTTACGTGGGCCTGTGTTTGACGCCCCGACATCTATTTAATATTGTGTGTATTCGCCAAATGGTGGACGACCACAGTGTCTATTGTTCCCGTGATATATACACCCTAGATATATTACTTGTGTTTTATTGCGATAAATACAATTCATTAGCAACTTGTATACAGGTACAAATGCAAAGGTGTGTATCGGATTTGGTAACGTAACACCCCTATCTGATCGAATGTCCTGCTTTATATCCTCGCCATGTACTATGTGGCGTCTGCAAGCTTTTACATGCGTTTATTATCAAAATCGACGATGTTCTTTAATTTCTATTAATGCCATACCAACTGTGTAATAGTGTATCGATCGGCTTGTCTGGTCTGGCAAATTCAGTGTTTGTTAGAAAATAGACGTGTTGGTCTTTTGTAAAGTACAAAAGATCTCGGAACTGCTTTATACTTTGAAAAATAACAAAATCTAAAGACTAGCATGTGTCGGGACTAGAATACGTTGTTACAAACCCGTACAAGTCAGCACGATTAAAAAAAGAATAAAGAAAGGTCCTTCAAAATATTCATTTTATTCATGGTTTGGTCGATCACACACCTCATGTAACAATAACCAGTTAAGTGACAGGTAACATAAAATTGTGGTCTTACGTCACTTATTATAAATCCCTTCCGTGTTTCAGGTTATTTCCGATAAATATAAATGAAAATAACTCACGTGGAAATATCTTGTTTCTATTAATGACTTTATACCGAAAAACAACAACCAAATAAGTACACCACTTTAATGCAAAATAAAGAAAAATTCATTTCGGTAAAAGGTAGTGTACCAGGTATGTGCCACTAAAGTACATATCTAGAAACCGCCGTTTCTGACTGTTGACTTAACTGTAAAAGGAAAATGTCAGCGTTACTCTAAGAGAACGAAGACGGTGTTACTATCATATACGAGAAAAGAAATCGACAATCCGAGGGAAGATAAATATTATTCTTAGGGAAAGTCAATATTGAAGTGGGAATTTTAAAATCACTGCAAGGGAAATTCAAAATTACTTTGATAAACCCCGTATGTATTTCACTATTACTCCGTGAGAAAATCAATAAAATTACTTTGAGCGAAGCTCAATATTAGTTTGAGATGTTCAAAATCAATCGGAAAGAAGATCAATATCATTTTGAGTAAATTTTATATTACTTTGGGCGGAAGTTCAATGATACTTCGACGGAAGTTGAAGCTACCAAGAAAGGGACATTCACGGATGTAAAATGTAATTAAGATGGACCGGAAGTAAGGTAACTGGGAAGGCTGAGGGAAATAGGACTAAACCTCCCGTACTACTACAGTGCTGAAACATGTAAAGAAAGGTCCCGCATTTTATCAGACATTAAACCTAAATGTTACATTGATACTGATTTCTTGTTCAAATTTCATAGTTAACCTTCATCTTTGATCTGATGGCCTCATTCTATTTCGTCTAATTGTTCTTCGTGATGTTATCAGTAAATATTTTCCAGTAACATTAATTCATGATTTTTGTTGTATGTTCCCATTTCTATTTATGATATTTGTGACATTGACCTTTGACCTCTGAATATGAAAAGCGTTTGAGAGCTAAGCCTTTCTTGCGAAGAAGAAATGGAAAAAGTTCGAGGTTAATTTATCAAAAATGAACTGAATGTTTCTTGTTGAAACTGTTTGTATTATAAACAGTGACCTTGACCTTCAGCATAAAGACCCGAAAATCACCCCGTGCAAACATTTACTTCAATTGGGTAAATTTTGATTACAGTTGACTTTTCATAACTTGAGATATTGTGCCGAAGCCAAAAACTGATTGACAAGACAGAAAGGCCGACAGACGGACAGTCTGATTATATTTGGAAACCCGTATCTTCAGTCAGTGTATTTAAATCAGAACGGTGGTAAGTGGGGTTTGAAGGTGGTGCGGAGGATGAAAACCTAACACACATGACTATTCCTCAGTGATTTGTAACCATCCAACAGCTATTCACTTGAATGGTGTCGACATCTATATTGCGTGACCTGACGTAAAAACGACTACCGACAAAACAAGGACTGTCTGTATACATGGTTGCTGTGATTGAAGCTTATCCATGATAACATGTCTGTCTGTCTTATTCACGCATTTCATGAAATATTTATCGAAACTTTGCGTTTGTGCAACCGTTAGGAAGCTGATGATCACTCGCAGAGCGATTATGTGGGTGATCATGTATGGTTTTCTTATATCAACATAATCTATTTTACAGCTATTTATGAATTAATGAGTATTATTGATGTCAACCAATTTCTCACCAATCGATCTATTGATCTCAATACCGCGCAGTATCTATGAATACCCATAGTATGAGGTTTTTCTTCACTTTGACTAGACGGTTAACTAACGTTGTTCTCAACCCTCCCCATGAGTCTTAGACGTTTCCGGTAATACAGATATTGCTATCATACAAATATTTGACAGAAATGATTTTTTATAAAGGGTAATTCATCCGCATTAAAGTAAAAATAATAGATTAAATTTCACTAAAGTTTATAATAGGACTTACGGTGAATTGGTTAGATATCCGTTAGACATTGGATAGAGCATTAACACAGAAACGTGAATTTTTATAGCGTGTTTAAATCACAAAAGAAACTTGAAGTATTGCTTGATGCTTTCACATCAACTTCACGAAATAAACTCGGGATTGTTTTTATAAACTAGTTATAATTTGTAATAAATCTTACTATTTCCACATCTTTATGCATATTAATCAGCGGCATTTTTCTAAAGGTCATACCCAAAGATACATAGCTGCAGAAAAGGTCGGATTAGCTATTGTGGTAGAAATAGGTCTTACAAATTCATAGTTGTTGTAGAAGGTATTTTTCACTTTCGTTTTATTTTTCAAAGCTCGCTAAACCCCCTGTGTAACCCATTTCATTACTTGTTAAGATATTTGAAACATTAGAAGTTGCAGGTATCGTCGATGATTAAAGACATTTCGTGTAATGTATACAAAATTTCGTACATATCAGATATAACATAAACGCTATGATATCAGATATACAGATAGTGAAGCATATAAAAAATTGTTTTAACAAGAGACTCCAGAGGGACCTTGTTGTCCATCATTGTATAATTTTTATCAGGTATGTATTTGCTTGATCTTGTTCCTTCTTTACTCTTCAATCATTTTATTTACTCTGTACACTAAATATGTTCAACATGGGTGAGAGGTCACTTAAATTTTAATTTTCTGACCTGTCTGTAAAACAAATTATATGCGCCACCACTCTAGGGACCAAGTGAAACCTGCATTTGAAATTTGAGAACAACCATCCGGTTTCCCCTTGCAAAATTGAAAGCAAAGACTCAAAAAATGACCCAACGAAACGACGGCGGACAAAGAGCGATTTTAACAGCCCACGATCTGATAATGGCGGGCTTTAAATGCGACATGCATTGTCAACTGTCGAATTGATATACCAAACTTATGCCAAGGTAGCAGTACACAGTTTCTCGGTGTGGCCGTGGGTGATTTTTTTGCTCATTAGATTACCCCATTATAAAGGTTTTAATTAAAAATGAAAAAAAAAATCCTTGCTAAAATTGGTCCTGTCATGTTAAAGTGGACGATGTCGGGTTTCATTTTTTTCAGGATAATATTTTAGCTTTGTGTTGGAGATTACTATTTGGGCAGTCTCGAATCTGTGTCTACGCACCAAAAACTAACTTTACAGGAAGTGAAATTTTCATAGTGTTTACATGTGGTCATGTTATGAAGAATTTTCGAGTTGGAATTTGCTGAAATGTAACTACTTTGTAATATGTACCTTACTACCCTTACTATTAATTCATACCGTAAGATAGGGTAGCAGTAAACAGTTAATTTGCATTTTTCCTGAAATTATTTGTCATGTTTCAGATATACAGGTATAGCAGATTGGTTATGAAAAATACATCATTACATGTATATATATTTATAAACTGCATAACAATTACATTAACAGTAGAGAGATGAAATTTGAGTAAAAAAAAAATTCCTCTGATTTCTGACATTTGATTGTCATGGTTACCTACTGAAAAAATGCTAAAAATGCAAAAAATACTGCTAATTCCAACCCAACGCTACAACTTTATAGGAGAAATTTAATTCTAAACACCTATCTTACAATCAACAACACTGTCTTAGTAACAAAGTACTTACATTTCAGCAAATTCCAACTCGAAAATTCTTCATAACATGACCACATGTAAACACTATGAAAATTTCACTTCCTGTAAAGTTAGTTTTTGGTGCGTAGACACAAAGCTAAAATATTATCCTGAAAAAAAAAGAAACCCGATATTGTCCAATTAACATGACTGGACCAATTTTAGCAAGGATTTATTTTTTCAATTTTGTTCAAAACCTTTATAATGGGGTAATCTAAAGAACAAAAAAAATCACCCACGGCCACACCGAGAAACTGTGTACTGCTACCTAGGTGTTTAGAATTAAATTTCTTCTAGAAAGTTGTAGTGTTAGGTTGGAATTAGCAGTATTTTTGCATTTTTAGCATTTTTTCAGTAGGTAACCATGACAATCAAATGTCAGAAATCAGAGGAATTTTTTTACTCAAATTTC